TCTAAGTTTCCTCTATGATCTAGATTTGGAGGTATTTCGTTGCGTTCCTACATTACGCACACTCCTCGAGTTACGGGAATTACTAAATTTTGAGATGTTCCTAGGTTTGGAGATGCTCCAAGATTACGTGGCATACCTAGGGTTTGGAATGTTCCTAAGTTATATCTCGAATTTCGTTGCATCGAAGAAGTACCAACCCCATTCATGTTAAGCGAAAACCCGGTGGTCTTACACTCATATACGACCCAGCATTTGTTGTTATAGGGTTTCCCATAGTTGGCATACTGTTTAGTGCCACCGTATTAGATCCTACTTGGGTATTTGCTAGAGTGCTTGAATTTTGTTCATTACTCACGGGTATCGACATACTTACAGTTGTCGATACTACAGGTGTATTCCCATTATGACTTTGCCCCCCAGTATTTGATGGGTGTGACCCATTTAATCCCTCAGTGTTACTCTGGTTACTTGATGAACTCTGACTCATGACTCTCCCACTTCTTAATCTCATACACTCTTGAACTAACCAATTTTGTGTTTCTCAACACAAGAAGGCCCCTACCTGGCGTGCCAATTTGTTTCTGGTGGAATTTCGATCGATTTCGATTCTAAAGGTGTTTTGGTCCTAATCAAAATTCTCCCACGTAAGTTCTTTTTACTTAGGCTAGCAATTTGACTTTCAATCGAAAACGTGTATAAGAATCGAAAGTTACAGGATATCAAAAATGCTATTTTTTATATTTAAAATACCGAACGCAGTAAAAATATCGAATTGAGAAACAGAATATTGAATTGCGAGGAAATGTAAAGTACGAAAACCCCAAATTTACATTAATTGTAAATGATAAGAAATCAAAAGCAGTGCAAATATAAATGACAGGAAACCGAGATTGTAAGAAAAGTAAATGACAGGAAATCGAGATTGCAAGAAAAGTAAATGACGAAATCGAGATTGCAAGAAAAGTAAATGACGGGGAACTTAAATGCAGAAATTTAAACTTTCATTGAATTGAAATGACAAGGAATCGAAAATACGAAACATAAAGCTGTTGAATTTAAGTTGCATCAAAGTAAATTACCAAGGAAAATACGAAAGCGGTAAATGTACTCGGTGAGCAAGGAAATCCAGATTGCCGGAAGCTTCATGGTGTTCGTCGTTTCTCCGGTAGACTTTTCACTACCGATTACGTTCTCCGCCAATTTCGCCCCCTTTATTCCTTCCTCCTCTGCTTTATTTATAGGGCATCATTCAAGCCTTCTAGGAGCGAGTTAACCAAGCTGCTACCACGTTCTTCGTGCGCGTTGCAGTTTCTTCTTCTGTGGTGTCAAAACTGCACCCACGTTCCCATGATCTTCAACCTCTGCCACGATTTAGAAGTTGTCTCTTATGTGCGTGTTTGACTCCTCTTTATGATCTGGCCACGATTTTGATATTTATGCGGGTTAACCTTTCTCTCGATTTAGACTTCAATTTTATCGAGAATTTTGGATTACTTTTGATTCTTTTTAACCTTAGCATCATATACTTCTAATTTCTTGGTTTGTTCCACAATAAACTTTTGACTATTATTTCTCCGATTCTCGATTACGTTTCTCGATGTTATGTGCTACGTATTTCTGATTAGACATCAAATTGTTTTTTGTCTATCTTATCGATTTATCAATCAATCACATATTTTCTCGCTTTTCTCTCCTTTGTTTTCGATCACTTTTCTTGATTTCCCACTAACAGATACTAATAATCACAAATATCATCGAACATAACTCGGGGAAACATTCTTATACTAATTCTAAATCACTTTATTACATTCACCTTTCCATAAGTTTGACCTCAAAACGTGGCAGTGATCCATTACAAGTTGTAAATTTCTTCATCGTAGCCAACGATGGAGGACACTCTGTTGTGGTTGGTGCCTTCTCTTTTAAATCCTTCTTACTTCTCTTGAAAATCCAATGCAGAAACTTCTTCTTTTCACGACATGCAGAAGAATGACCCTCTTGTGTTGGAACCCTTTTCTGTCCACGAGCCGTTCTCTTCATCTTGCCCTTCACTTCACCAGTACAAGACACCTTGGGGGAGGAGGGCTCTCGTGCACTGAAGCTTTCGTTTCCACGCTTTCTTCGAGCCTCCATTGGAACGATTGAGACTCTATGTGTCGGTAATCGACCTCCTCTTGGGGGAAAATTTCCAGTAGGACTCATATTAGGGTTTTGAAACACCACTGAAGCTACTGGTTGCTTTGGCAGAAACTTCATCAACTTGGCTTTCATTCTAGACAGCACCTCCATCGTGAATACAACTCAATGGATATGATTTATTGTTGTGATCTATGATCACAAAATATGGCTATGCAATATAACAAATGACAATGATGTTTGACCAATTAACTAGAAAGAGAACGAAGAAGAAGAAATTAAAGAAATAATATCGTTGACATTCATCTTATACATGATTTGTAGATAGTTCAGTATTTTTGAGACTCTGGAAGACAATGAAAGAAATGTCCCAAAGGCCTGCAAATCCAAATAGAATATACGACTAAGAAAGAACATGATCAATAATATATAATCATCTTTAGAAGTTTGGAATCTCCAAATAGGTTAATTTTACATACATGGTTACTTTCAAGATTTTTATACTATTATTAATGAATAGAAAATCGTTTTGGATATAAGTTTTAAAATAATAATCAGAAACATTAACCATCCTGACTCTTTATAATAATGTATAATTCTAAAATATCTTTACAATATCAGTACAATTTAATCAAATTGGTAAAGAAAAATTAGATGATGTTAATTTGATTATTCGTATAAAGATTATATTAATATCATTAAATATTACATTGATATTTTTTAAAAATGTTTATAAGCTACTTTAATCATAATTAAATAACATAATTGTATTGTATTATACTATATATATATGAAAAAATATGTCGCTATAAATATGTAAAGTTATTATAACGAATGATATATTAATATTTTCCACAGGTTCAATTTATATAAACTAATAGATACATATAGGTTTAAAACTCTCTCTGTTTTATTTTCAAGTTTATTTTTAAACTTTTAATTAAAGAATAAAATAAGAAAGTTTAGTTATTTACATAAATATATAATTAATCTTTCCCTTATATAATAATATGACAAACTTTTTATGCAATCGAGATTAAGATGTTGATTTTTTTTTCATAATTAAAAATGTCTCAAATGTTTCCAACTTTTATAATATTGTTTCTTCCATCCAAATATAGCTAATAAATAATGGTGATATGATTTTTTTTATATGATAGATCATATCTATTTATAATACATTTATTCCTTGGACATATAAGGAAGTGATATTATAATTAACGGTGATATGATTTTTTAAGCAAATAATGGTGACATGAGCAAATAAACATAACTCATTATGAGATTTCCAATTTGAAAAATCTTTATGATTTATAAGTTGGTTGAATGAAAGGAAAACGCTAGCAGAAAATATGTGATTTTTTATTGCTTTTCTTTTCAGATTTCAGTGTTTTCTTATGTAATTAAAATACTAATATAATATGTAATTTATACATGATAGAAGTTTGATTATTATGTTATGAATAAATAAATAAATAAATAAATACATAAATCAAATTTTATCATTATAAATATTAATATTTTGTGTCAAATCAATTTTGAAAAAAAAATGTAGATAGAATTTTTCTAATATAAGTTTTTTTAAGGAAAGATATAATATATTTAATTTTTTTTTATTTTATATTTGTTAGTTAATTTTAAATAATAATTATTTTATCATATTTTTATTTTATTTTAATAACTATTTATTTTTCATTTTTAATATATTTTATATTTATAATTTTTATTGTAATTTATAATAATTATGATACTAATCTTTATTTTACTTTTTTTAGAAAATATTATTAATAATAAATTTATTATATTATAAAAATAATATTTTATTAACTCTAGTTGGATTAAAATCTTAAACTAATATTATACTGATTACAGATGGATCCAATTAAAAGTGATAGTAGCAATTAATGCAGTGTACACCGTATATATTAAATGGATTACTATAACAAAATAATATAAAAAATCGTCATTTATTTACAATTTTACCAATGTTCTACTTTTTATATCAGGTCATTCATATTCGATCTTGGATCCTGTTATTGAATCCATTCTATCCAAGTTGTCCTTTATTTATTTTATCACTGTTATGTTTTTTCATCAGATCATTCGTAAGTAGAATCATTCTATGCATAATTTAAAAAAAATTAAAATTATTTTCATGGTTGTTATAAGTTATAATGTCTATGAATAAAATAATACGAAAACACATTAAAATAATCATTACTAAAATTGACGTGATTAATTAGTGTGAGATGAAAAAAAAAAGAATTGAAAAATATTATATTTTTTATAAAAATTTATACATATATTTTTTTAAAGAATTTTTTTTAATTTTGTATCAATTTTTTAAATTTTATAATAATTTAATTAAATTTTGATTATTTAAATATAACATACTAAATTTTAAATTTATTTTTAGTTGAATTCGATTCTCAAAACAATGTTAAAGAGTATTTTTATACTAGCCCACTTCTATCTTTAAATAATTGTATATAATCAATATTTATGCATTATATTATAGTATGTAAGTCCAAGTTCAAATGATAAAAAAAATAGTCATATACAGTGAAATATTGTTTAAATACATTACGTTATTTCTGCACTGTATTGTATTTTTTTTCTAATATTATATATTTATAAAAACTAATTCCATATTGTACGCGATGATAAAAAATGGTGTTAAAAAGAGGAATTGTAATTTTAAAATATAGTATAAATATATATAGTAGTTTTTTAGTTATTTTATACTTTTTAAAAATATAAAAATATTTTAAAATTTAGTTATTTGTGACCATTTATAACCGCTACTAATGATTATGGATTAATGACATTGGATGAATTTGGAGTGAAGAAGTACAATGCATCATCTACTCTTCTTGATTCATAGTAGTGAGAGGAATAGAAAACCTTCGCCGGCATAAAGAAGGAATGGTTGGACTTATATGGAGACGAAGAGGGACCCACGTTCTCTCTCCATCACCCCACAAAGCGTACGCTTCTTCTCCATGAGCAGCGTCATCACCAACCTCAAGCTCCTCTTCTTGCATCCTAAGATCCACAAAGCGGCTTATAACAATACAAATGAGGCTAGTAACAACCACATTCCAAACAATTATAAACCCTGCTCCAAGTAACTGGTACCATATTTGCCTAAAGCCTTCACCCACTGATTCCCCCTCGGAAAAGCTATAGAGTAAGCCAGGGCCATATTGGTTGCCATCTGTGTACATTGTTCTTAGAAGCTTGGGTTTGGCAAACAAACCAGAAAGAACACCCCCAAGAAGACCAGCCACAGCATGAGTGTGGAAGACTCCCAGTGTATCATCCACACTCTGAAAGAATGCTGATTTTTTGTGCAACACCATCATGGTGTACCATGGAATCGAACCAGACAAAGCTCCCATCAATATTGCTGCCCATGAATCCACCAAGCCTTTTCATATATGAAGGTAAAAAAAATTGGTTGGGAACATGTCTTCCAATTTGAAAGTATAAAGTGAGAATATTGAACCTCTCTAACAGCTTTCCTCTTGTAGCAGAGGTATATGTAAGTGGACATTATTGATTAATATATAGTACTTGTTGGCAAATTTTGGGTCATGTATATATATGATACATATTTAAATGTGTTAGGGTCATTATTTATTAAGCCAAATAATAAAGTGATCTGACTAAATTAAAGTTTTGGCTAAAAGCATATGTCATGAAAATAAAATTGTGTAGAGACCATAGAGTAATTTCTAATTTGATGAAGGGCCAAATTGGAAATACTAAAACTTAAGTAATTAACCTAATTCTGGTTATCTAAAGGGTCATGGTCCCCTTCGAGAGCACACGCACGAACGTAAGTATCGGTCCGTTCCTTTCTTTCTATCCCCATCAAGAGAGAAAATCAAGAGGGAAATACGAGTGCTTCTTCAGGTGGAAGACCATAAGATCAATATAGTGCTCTACAAAGACATCATCGTTATGGCTAATTCGAGTACGCTTTCGCATTCGGTTCTACAGCATGTTTATCGGTATGAGATTATGTTTATGTTTGATTGTTAGAATCAAAATCGGGATTATTATTATTGTTATTGTTTTTCCAACAATTGGTATCGAGGCAGCCCATATTTGATTCATATCTGTTTAATTTATAGAACCCTAATTATGAAAATTAGGATTAATTTTGTTTTAAACAATTCAGATTACCCAATTTTATGAACCCTAAGTGGAGGATAATCTCTAATTTTTGTGAACCCTAAAATTTAAATTTGGGGGTAACATCCCCAATCTGATTACGCTGTCTGATGGAGCAAGTGGAGGAAGCTATGAATTCTTCTTCTTCTTCATTTTTCACTTTTGTTTCGAGTTTAAGTTTCAAGTTTTACTTGAGAAAGAAACAGTGTTTCATATTTCAATTTTTCTTGTATTGGGTTCTTTGTTCTTTTTTGAATCTTTTGTTTTTATTTAATTTTATGGGTTTGGAATTGGGGGTGGTGTTTGTGGAGTTCCCAACACGAGAGAATCTTAGGTAAATGATGAATGTTTCCACATGTTTGGTCTGTTATTATTTTATTGCCTCTATCCCCTAGGAATTTAAGGAAAATTTGATGTTAAATTAGGGTCCGAGTGATTACTTGTTTAATTCCCTTTTAGGGTTTAGAAGCGATATGCTAAAGAGACTCAGAACTATCTCTGTTTCATCCCTAGTGTGATTTTAGGAAGATGTTCATCCTTTATGTATTGGTGGAAAATGAGGCCTTTTTTCATCCTTTGATTTGTTCAAATGAGGTGTTCATCCTTAGTATAATTATAATGAGGTGATTCTCTTTTGAATTAGTTTGCAAATATTAAATATTTGGTTTTGTTATATAAATAAAATATTCAATTTTTGGTAGTTTAATATTTTTTGTGAGCAAATTGAGTCAAGAAGTCACCAAAGTAACTTCTCTTGAATTGGGCAGTTCATGAAAAATATTGAATGTTAGTGTTTGTGTATATTCATGCAAGTATTAGTCGGCCTAAAGGAAGATTAATATTTGGCCGAATTGCATACACATTTGTAATGATAAACATGTGATAATTATAAGGATTTGCTTTGTCGATGATAAATCAATCCAAAGACTGGTTTGTTGTTGGACGTGCTTTATTGTCAATGTTTGATTATTACAACAAGATACCTCTAGCGAGTTAATATTACTTGTCCAAAGACTTGATATTGATGGTGCATTGGGTACCTTGAGATGGGTTAAACCACTATTTGAATATATATTATTTATTTTTTATATAATGTGAGCATAATTAGTTTATTTCTCGTGTTCTAAATTCAACTTACAATTGCTTCGTATCTCGCCAATTTAAATTATGTTCAGGTCCTCAATGGAACAAATTTTAAGAATCTGGAAAGAGAACATTGATATTGTTCTTGGTTGCATGGATATGGATCTTGCGTTAAGGATCGAGCAACCCCTACTCCTACGGATTCAAGTATCTCCGAACGAGAAAAGAGATTATGAGAAGTGGGATCGCTCAAATCGCATGAGTGTAATGATCATTAAGCGTGACATCCGGAGGTGTTTAGGGGCATTGTTTCGAAAACATCACAAGTGCCAAAGAATTCCTTGCTGAAATTGAGCGGCGCTTTGCAAAAAGCGATAAGGTGGAGGCAAGCACTCTTCTTCGAACTTGATCTCCATGAAATATCAAGGCAAAGGAAATATCGGGGAGTACATTATGAGCATGTCTAATATTGTTTTTAAACTCAAGGCACTAAAGCTTGAACTCTCGGAAGACTTGCTCATTCATTTGGTGTTGATTTCTCTTCCGCAACGTTTAATCAATTTAAGGTATCTTACAAGCTGTCGGAAGGTGCTAAGGGTCCAGAACAAAAGAAACAAACTCAAGAAAACAAATGTTTCTTTTGCAATAAGACTGGACACGTAAAGAAGAAATGTGCTAAATATCATGTTTGGCGTGAAAAGAAAGGGTTGCCTAAACTACCGGAAGCCAATTGATTCTGAAAGATGGATTTATGTTGGAGATGGCAAATCGGTAGAGGTGGAAGCTATAGGGCATTTTAAATTGTTATTAAGTACTAATTTTTTATTTGGATTTGAAAGACACTTTTGTTATGCCGTCATTTAGACGGAATTTGGTTTCAGTTTCTTATTTGGACAAATTAGGTTATTTATGTTCATTTAGAAACAATAAGTTCAGTTTGTCTTTTAATTCAGATATTGTTGGAACTGGTTCACTTTTAATTTATGATAATCAGTATTTACTTGATATTGTGGCCACCTATAATGAAACCCTTAATGCAGAATCATGTGGTACTAAACGTAAAATTGAAAATACTCACTCAAGTGCATTATGGCACAAGTGCTCAGGTAACATCAAATTGTAACGTTTGGACTCATGTTACACTCTTAAAGATATGGTAGAGAGTATGATTTGTCATTCCACCTTACTTGGAATCACTTTGGGGAGAGACACTTAAATATGACAGACTTATATTCTAAACGAGTACCAACTAAAGCAGCTACCAAAACACCTTATGAGCTTTGGATAGAGGCGACAACTTAGTCTGAAGGATTTCCATGTGTGGGATTGTCCAGCTGAGGCAAGACCTTATAAGTCAAATGAAAAGAAATTGGACTCCCAAACAGTAAGTGGTTATATTATTGGTTATGCTGAAAGATCCAGGGGATATAAATTTTATGATCCCACATTAAAGACATTTTTTGAGACGGGAACTGCTACGTTCTTTGAGGATATTAAGTTTGGGGGGAAGAATAAGATTAAGAACTTTGTCTTGGAGGAAGAATCGGTAACAATTCCAGAACCGATTCAAATAGTTACTTTTGATAAAGTAAGTTCGGAACTTCCACAAGACATTGTTGATGAACCCCTCACTCAAGATGATTTGGTTGTTCATGAAGAACAAACTCAAGATCCTCAAGAACCTGTGCATCATGAGCTAATAACTTTGCAGAGATCCACTAGAGAAAGAAGAAGTGCTATTTCGGATGATTACATTGTATTTCTTCAGGAACATGAGGAAAATAATGATATAATGGAAGATGACCCAGTTAACTTCCGTCAAGCTATACAAGGTTCTAACTCTCAAAAGTGGATTGAAGCAATGAATGAGAAGTATAAGTTCATGCAAGACAATAATGTTATTGGGAACTTGTCCCATTACCAGAAGGTATGAAACTCATTTGACTTCAAGATGAATATTGTTGATGATTGTGTGTATCACAAGTTTAAAGGGAGACAAGTTTAGTCTCAATCAGTGCCCAAAGGGGAATTTGGAAATTGAGGAAATGCAAAAGATTCACTATGCATCAGCTGTAGGGAGTTTGATGTATGCCAAAGTATGTACGCGTCTAGACATAGCATACATAGTTGGGGTTCTAGGCAGATATTTAAGCAATCCAGGAATAGACCATTGAAAAGCAGCAAAAAGGGTCATAAGATATTTAAAGAGAACAAAAGATTATATGCTCACAATAGGAGGTCAGACCAGTTGGAGATCGCTGGATTTTCTGACTCATATTTTGCAGGATGTCAAGAATTTGTAGCATGCTATGAGACATCAAATCATGGAATATGGCTGAGAAATTTTGTCACAGGGCTACAAATTGTGAAAGGCATTAAAAGACCACTTAAGTTATATTGTGACAATAAATCAGCTGTCACTACAAGAAAATCGCGTATTACCGACGGATATTTACCGACGGAATTGTAGCCGTCGAAAAAGAATCATTACCGACGGAAATTACCGACGGATATAAAATATTTGTGAAATTTGATGTTACCGACGGATATATCCGTCGGTAAAATAATAATTAGTTACTGACGGATATATCCGTCGATAAATCCGTCATGTAATTTATAGATGAATTTACCGACGGATATATCCGTCGGTAAATCTGTCGATAAATTAACAAGTAATTATCGACGGATATATCCGTCGGTAAATTCATATGTAAATTAAAAATTATTTACCGACCGGATAAATCCGTCGGTAAAATTATATAATATAATTTAATTATTCACTAATTAAAAAATAAAATATTTTTTATTTAATAATTTAATTTAATCATAATTAGATTAATTTATAATAATTTATTAAATTAAGTAATTTTAAAAATAAATATTTAATTATATATAAATATATATAAATATATATATATATATATATATATAAATATATAAAAATATATAATATAAAAATATATAAATATATATAAATATATATAAATGTATTTGTATATTTGTATATATATAAATGTATTTGTATATTTGTATATAAATATAATTTATTTGTAAATTGTTATCAAGAAATTCTATTAGCTTAGTGGTTGGAGTATCGACCTCACTCTAAGGTACTTGGGTTCGAATCACTGCCAATGACATTTCTCTTAATCCGACAATAATTCAAAGTTATAAAAATATAATATGGAGAAATAATTGAAATAATTAATAATAAATAATAAGAATATAAGGGGGAGGGTTCTATAAAAAAAATAATGTTATAAATAAGTAAAATATTTAATAATTAATAAAATTATTACCGACGGATCCGGATCCGTCGATAATTTCAGTAACATATTTACTGTAAGCGGATTTTGACCGTCGGTAATTTTAATATTTCTTGTAGTGTGTATTGTTAAGGAAAGAGTACAAAGTGAGCAGATTTCCATAGAACACTTAAGAACAAACTCCATGATAGCATATCCTCTAACTAAAGGACTTCCGCCCAAGGTCTTTCATGAGCATGTTGCTCACATGGGTGTTTTACAGTTTGAGGAATTTGTGGTTTAGTGGGAGTTAGTCATTTTCATATATTTTATGTTCTATGTTTAATTTTATATATGTATACATTGTTTTTTGACATATTTGGTTATCTATAGATATGCGGTTTTCTTGTTCATTCATTACACTTTGTACATTAAGGTTATTGTATCGATCTCGATAAGTTAAAGTTTGGACCGAGTTGAAAATAGACGTGTACGAGATCACCTTCACGTAATTTTTCATGCTACACATTTCATGATGAATCCATGTCATTTGGTTATGTCAGGATGAGTAATCTTGTTGGTTTTAGTTGCGATGATGCAATGAAAAGCTGATTTGGTTCTATATCCTGATATGATTAATGGACAGGACTTTTGGAATATGCTAAAGGAATATAATGACAATTTTGAGCTCATAAAGTCTAACACATTTGTAAGGTTGTAAAGACATATATATTTGTGATCAGTGGGAGATTGTTGGCAAATTTTGGGTCATGTATATATATGATACATATTTAAATGTGTTAGGGTCATTATTTATTAAGCCAAATAATAAAGTGATCTGATTAAATTAAAGTTTTGGCTAAAAGCATATGTCATGAAAATAAAATTGTGTAGAGACCATAGAGCAATTTCTAATTTGATGAGGGGCCAAATTGGAAATACTAAAACTTAAGTAATTAACCTAATTCTGGTTATCTAAAGGGTCATGGTCCCCTTCTGAGAACACACACACAGAACGTAAGTATCAGTCCCGTTCCTTTCTTTCTATCCCCATCAAGAGAGAAAATCAAGAGGGAAATACAGGTGCTCTTCAGGTGGAAGACCATAAGATCAATATAGTGCTCTACAAAGACATCATCGTTATGACTAATTCAGGTACGCTTTTACATTCAGTTTACAGCATGTTTATCAGTATGAGATTATGTTTATGTTTGATTATTAGAATCAAAATCAGGATTATTATTATTGTTATTGTTTTTCCAACAGTACCTGCACCTGGTGTGATGCAGACGAGGCCAGTGATCATTCCCTGTACGGCACCTATGACTGAGCTCTTGGTATACACAATCATGTCCAGAGTAAGCCAAACCAGTAGGCTTGTAGCAGTACATAGATGGGTATTGAAGATCGCCAAGGATGCAATTTCTCCCACCTTGAACGGAGCTCCACCGTTAAAACCTGTCCAACCCATCCACAAAAACCCTGCACCTCCAAGCACGAGAATTATGTTATTTGGTGGAAAGCTTTGCCTGTCATCTGAAATTCTTGGACCAACCTGCCATTCATCCACCACACTTATTAAGCCCAGGGATAGCAAGTTTTTCTTTTTTGCTTTTAAATTTATTTTTCTACATTTGTCAAAACTGAAACTTTAACTTTGTAACAGTAATAACTCTATTGATAATGATGAAGGGTTACAAAAAGAATGTACCCAATAAGCAGCTGTGAAACCAGCGACGCCAGAAGACAAATGAATTACGAAGCCACCTGCATAATCGATTATTTTCCCCTCAAGGAAGCCATAATCGTCCCAGATGCTGAATGCACCAACGGTGTAAGAAAACGTAAGCCAGAAAGGAACAAACAACATCCACGCATAGAAGTTCATTCTCCCCAACAAAGACCCTGCAAGCAACACAACAGTGATTGCGGCAAAAGCAAATTGATAGAAGACGAAGTCAGCCATTGGAAAATACCCAACCGGCGACTTTGCAAGCAGAAACTTCCCACCCAGAGCGTGGTTGGGCTTTCCCACGAATGGCAGAAGCTCGGCCCCAAACGCCATCCCATGGGCCCACGAAACCCAACAAATGAGGACGCAAGCAAAGGCATACAGAGCCATGAAGGCCGAGTTCACAGCCCATTTTCTCTTAACCATGCTGCCGTACAGGATGACAAGCCCAGGAACGGTCTGAAGGCCCACCAAGGTTGCCGCCGTTAGTTGCCATGCGTTGTCTGCTTTGTTGTTCCACTTGGGTGATGCATCGGTTGGCAAAACGTAAGCACTAGAACTCATGGTGTTTGGAACATTTTTTGTGTGGTGGGGTAGAGTTTGGAATATAAAGGGTGAAAAATTTTGGACATTTTTTCAGGAATCTTTGAAATAATCGACTAGTTGTGGTTTCTTGTTGTGCTGATTCGACGTTCTTTGCTCTCAACGCAATAGATTCATTCGAAAATTAAAAAAGCTAAACTCCATTATCTTAAGCCACTCCAAAGAAGATTAGGTGAAGTTTTATGCTTTATAATTTGCATTTGAGACGGGGATATAAGCGATTCACTTGTGACGTGAGGGGCATTGTTTGAATCGATGTCGTATATGATTTCGTTTTCGAATTTTAACTTGTTCCACACAAGTTAAAATTAACAAATAAAATCGATGTCGTATATGATTTCGTTTTCGAATTTTAACTTGTTTCCACACAAGTTAAAATTAACAAATAAACAATAGTTGAAAACTTGTAATCCTTAGTAAACTTAAAAATATTGAGTAAGTTTTCTTTTCTGCAGTGTCAGGAACGTGAATTAATCGATTTAAAACATGTTTTGAAGAATATGGAATATAAAATTTTGAGTAATCAACATAATGAATTTTTAAACTTGTATTTCTAACATTCTCTGAATCATATTGGTGATGTAATGTGAAGTTCTACTGTCTGTTGGTATTGGAGACCATATTTCTCAAATTTAAATATACTATTTTCCTCACTTTGTTCTTGTTTGACTGGTATAATAAACTTCTAATCTTTTCCAAATTTGACGTGCATGAATCAAACAAACCATATGGTTCGTAATTGATAAACTCCTCGTTAATAATCTTGCCGTCTTCCTTTTATCTTTTAAAATATGAACTTAACAAGAACAACATTTTCTTTTAAGATGTCACATACATTATTAGTGTTATATGAAATAATTCTCTTCATCTAATTTCAATGTGATTAGAACGAAAGAAGGACTCTTAATGTCATGTTAGAATTTACAGAGAAGAAAAGTATTCTATTATTATATTCATCACACTAAATATAAAATAATATATATAACTAGCACATTAACAAAATAAACTTTCTCTTAATACTACATAAAAAATCACTATCCATTTTTTTGGATGATCAGGATATTTAATTTCCTAACACTTTATTATTGTTTTGTGTGTGAGAGTGTGTGGTTTTTTTTCTTTCGAAGTATCATTTACAATATTATTCTCCATATTAATGAAGCTTTATATATAGCAAAACCACATTCAGACAAATATAAAATTTGAACTTTGAACACTTTCTTCTTATACCTATATCTTACATATATTTAAAATCTCAAGTAAGGTTTCTCCACTTCATTTTGAAGATTGTCATAGCTGGTATGGAGTTTCCCGATTCTAATATTGCAAGCAGCATATTCCCATGATAGCATGTAAACACTAACAGAAATGCCCTAAATAACGTGAAATCGTGGTCAAGTTGTACTCTTCACATCATGATGATGATAATGAATTAATTTGACAAGAGAAAAAAAAAAAATTGTGTAACCTAACCATATATTGCAACATAGAAAAGGGGGAAGATATTAATATGAGATATCATTAATTGTTCCCATAAATACCATATCAACCAAACCACAAACTAGGTGGTATACAAAACAAGGGTTGGCAAATGCAACAGAGATACTGCTTTGCCATATTGAGCAAACATCAAAGAGCCTTTAAGCCATGAAATTGGTTCTCCTTCAGAGCAAGTCAACCCCACCCTACGAGTTACTATTACATGCTGAGTAGTCTCAAGTTCTCAACTAGAAAGAAGAAGGAAAAAAAAAAAAAAAAAAAAGTGTAGAGTGGGGGCGAAATGGTTTTGACAGTTCTAAGACACAGTTTCATGGGTACCTATTAATGTTGCAGCCTGTCTATTTCAGAGGGAGATTCCCTCATTAAATGTGGTGGTCTCTCTGGTTCCACTGTCAACCAGTATCACCATCATCTTCAACCTCTTTCTTCCCTCTCTGCCCACTCTTGACCCTAACCAAAAGTGCCCATGTCAGTTCCTGCAAATACACTTCTACCCTTTCTCCACCCACTCGTCCATCCATCACAAGGGTTACTTTTGACCTCATGTCTTCTAATATATTATCAATGTCAAAATTTCACTCAAGTAATATGTAAATCTAAACTTTTATTTATGTTGATTTATGTCGTTTAAAGTTAATGTATATAAATTAACAAATATTTAATAAAAGTATATATTCTTATGTTATATGAAAACCTTTTAATTTAATATACTTTTTTAATTTTAAAATAATAGTTTAAAAAAAATAATAATAGTATTTTAATTTTTTTAAAATTATATAATTAAGAATACTTAGTATATATAATTAATTATTTTTTTCAAGTAATTTTGTACAAAGTTCTTATAATAAATATTATTTATATTATAAAAGAACACAATTGTAACAGAAATTTTCATCTAAGATTGTAGGAATTAATTGTTTTTATATATAAATACTATCTCCATGCCATAATAATTACACTTAAGAATAATAATATTACTAGCACGTTTGTAAATTTTAATATTATATTACTTACTCTTTTACTGATTATAATAAAATTAATACTTATCTTAATTTTTATGTCACAGTTATAAATATTGAAACAGAAACCATATATGTATAATTTTTAAAATAATTTTATTTGTTATAATATGTGCATTAATTTAAATAAAAAATATTTATTTTAATTTATAAAATTACTTAGAATTCTGTGTAATTTAATGATGCATTATTAGTAAATCTAATTTAAAATATAAATACTCACTATATTATCAAAATCTCTTTCAATTATTTTAAATTTGCATGTAATAATAGAGATGGGTTTTGAAATGATAATAATAATAATTTTATCATATATAATTAATTTAACTAATTTTCTGAGAAGGTATAATTAGTTAAAATTGTCTTATAAATAAAGTGAGAGAAAGTAATTAGTTTGAAAATATATTAAAAAGATATATACAAGATTAATGTTTTAGTAACAAGTGAAAAGCATAAGGCAACTTGAAATGTTTTAATTATATATACGTCTAAAATTTCCATTATTTTGTGAAGGAATGGAATGTTATATACTATTTTGAAATAGAGAGAATCTTTCTTGATTCTTAATGTGTGGACCACTAGTATAGGATATTAAATAAGGGCATACTCAAAGGAAAAGCACATTAATTAGACTTTGAAATTCTACATTATTAATGATTATTAAAAAGTTAAATATTTTAAATATATTTATTTTGAATAAATAATATTTGATATTCTATATTATTATTATTATTATTTAATCATATATGATAATTTTACATTGAAAGACAAACAAGTTTATACATAAAATATCTTCTTCTTCTTTTTAATAAAAGATTAGATTATACGGACAAAGCTCTGATACAAGTTTATATGATAGATTAAAGATGAAAAATAGCAAAATTGTTAGTGGAAAAAAAGTGGGATGGAGGGAGAAGTATGAATTTAAATGCTATGACCCAGCTTTATGCTTTGGTAGTCGAGGTTTTAAATGCTGTGTTCAGACACCCTCTTCAAATATCTTAAATCCCAGCCAAGACATTCTCAACTCTCACAACACACCCTTCAAACAAACACTCTCTCTTTTTCTCTTTGCCTTGTGCCTTCTTACCTTCTCTTCTCTGCAAACACCACAGCCACAAACAGAACAAGGAATGCACAGACACAAGTATATGAAGTAGTTATTGTGATATTGGCCTGGTTCACTCAGACACGTATACCACACACTTAACAAACATTCTAAGTTTGGGTTTGTGGTTCTAGGTTTGATTGAGCCGTGCCAATATCTCAGTGCTGCTTCGTCTTTGCATAAAACCTAGGAGTCCTCTACCGATCCTCAAACGCAAAGGTTTGTTTCTCTTCTTCTCTTCTCATCTTCATTTTACTCACTTTTACTTGAGAATTGAATGATATGAACCTTGTAAGAGTTTAACATTTTGTTTGTGTAAGTAAAACTAATCAGAAACTTCAAACACTCGTGGATTTCCAAACTTTGATGTTACCATTGGATTTGCGTGTGTGTATATGAATATGTTATGTTTTCTTTACAGAGAATAAAAAATAAATAAAATGAAAGAAAAGTTGTATAACTCTCTTGTCAGCAGTAGTCACAATGCATGACCATAAAAAAATTATGGATGTAATACAACTTTTTATCATTAAATGAAATTTTTTATATTATTTATTTATTTATTTACATATTCACCAATAACATTTTTAATTTTATTCTTGCAAATCTTTATAATTCCTTTCATGCTTGTATTTTGTTATACAAGAGACTAAAAAATAGAGAACGTGTTATTTTTTGTTATTTTTAATCATAAAATATTAATGTAAAAAAATATTGTAAGAAACCAAACAAATCCAGCAATAACAAATGGATACATCTTTTGTGCGTGTGTACGATGGCGTGAAATATAAGAAGCTATATCAATTTGTAATTATTTTTCTCTTTATAATTTTTTTTTCACTTGTTTATTATAAACAATTTATAATAGTTAAATAAATTCTTTAAACCTAACCAATTTTTTTAAAGCCAAAAAACTGATTAATTATATAGTACTAAATTCACAAAAAAATATTTAAATATTCAAAATTATCCTTCTTTTCTTATTTAAATATCTAGACTCTTTAATTTTTATTCGCTTTAATTATTTTTATAATGTTCCATGAATTAACAGCGAAATTGAAATTCATCAAGAATGTAAACCTTTTGCAGTAGACTATTATTATAATATCAAAATCAAGTTACTGTGTTTTGCATTATAAAAACTCTCTATGGTTAATTTTAAATGATTAATATAAAAAATAGAGTACTTAAGTTTTGTTTCTCTTTAATATAAAAATTGTAGCATCTGGTCACATTATACATCATCATTTTATTATATTTAAATATTTTGTTGATAGATAAAATTTTCGCTTCTTTTTTTAAAATATTATAAACAAGATTAACCATGCTTTTTTTTAAATGAAACCTTAAATTTCATTTTTATAATTACAAATGAAACGATATATTCAATTATCACATCCATTAACTTTACCTTATTCAAAAGATAAAAAATACATGATTTAATCTTCAAATTTTGTATTTATTCGTCAATATTCGCATCTTTCAGAACATATATAGAAATACTAAAAAAATAAGGTTATTTATTATATTTGTATTTAGGCATTCAGTATAAAGAAAAAAAATTAAAGAAATGAGATTTAATAATTTTTAAATTATACATAATTTTTATTTTCAAACACATAAGTAAAACTGGGAAAATGGGCAGCTAGACAAGTTACATGGACCAATTGAAAAATTGTTTGGTCTGTCATCATTTTTTTCAATTTTCATGACTATGTCTTCCCACGAAGAATATGTCTAACTTTGTTTTTTATTGGGTCTACTTCCATCATAAATTATTCTTATTTTATTATACTATTTTAAGACAAAATTATTATTTTATTATTTTTCAGTTTTTTTTAAATCATTTAAATATTAATAATATAAATAACTTTTTTGATATTTCCTTTAATTTTTTCAATAAAAATAATGACATGATAATTATTATTATAAATTTGAAATATTAAGGGTGAACTTAGTCCTCGATATTCACTTATCAAAACAATTATAATTACTACATTTTATTTTATTATCAAATTTATATAAAATATTGGTTGACATAAATTAATTGTACTATAGATATTACTTTTCTTTAAGTTTTTTTTTTAATCTTTGGATACTTATGATGGGAAGATATGTGATAAGTGAGGTTTTATTTTCTTATTTGTAAGGTTTCATATTCAATGTCAGGTAAGAAGTTCAAAATAAATTTGCAGAATTGGATAACGTGATTATGAAAAAGATATCGTGCATATTTACAAGAGTTGAATAATTTGTTTTGAAATTTAGAGACGACAATACATTTTGGGAAGGTTTTTTAAATTATTATCATAGTCATTTATTTCTGTTTTTATTTTTTTACACGAGTGTTTATATATTTGAAAGATTTTTATCTTTTATTTTTGGGATTTTTTCCCTCCTTTTAAGAATTAATTTGACTATTTTTCCTTACTTATAAGATTCTGGTATTATGGGTAATAATCCTAATATTAAAAAGAAAATTATGATTATAGATAAATTCGATTAAAGATAAGAATCAATCCAATCATTTATTCATCCATCTTAGATATATGTTGTAATTTTTTTTTTAAGATAGTTGTTTACACTAAACATTAGTCTCAGGGTAATATATTCAACTAATCCTTAGATTATTAATTCCATAAACTTTATTATATATGTGAATTAAAGATTTTTTTTCCTTAAAATATTTGTTGGAAAAATAGTGTTCATAAATTCTTGAATTTTTATAAAATTTATTTGTTTTTAAATTATAGTCCAAGTTTTATCCTTAAAATATTAATGAAGAAGAAAAATTATTGAAAATCATTTTGATGATGTCCAATAATTAGGTAGTAGTTTTGTATAAAGCCAAATAATATAATATTTGAAAGTAAAAATAATAAATTATGATAAAACATAATATGTATTAATCAATAAAAAAAAATTAATCGATTATATGACTTAAAATTATGTTTTCATAACATGCGCTAATAATCAATTATACGGTCACTTAATTGATTGTGTGTCTAAATCTCTATTATAACATGCGCTAATAATCAATTATACGGTCACTTAATTGATTGTGTGTCTAAATCTCTATTTTAACATAACATGCTAATAATCAATTATATTGATACCAAATCGATTATATGACTTATTTTCATACTATTAGTGCAAGTAAATAATCAATTGGATATCCTACTAATCGATTATCTACGTTAGTTATAACAAATTTTTTTCTATAAAAGAATAAACTTTCTTCAATCAATATATATATATATATATATATATATATATATATATATATATATATATATATATATATCTTTAGAAACCATTAAAGTAATAAGAAAGAACGTTGTGAGCATAAAAGAAAGTGTGTGATTTTATAAAATGCTTTGAAGATCAAATTCAAAGAAAACTTTACTTGGCTATAGGATGCAAGTGGTACATGAGTTTAAGATGAAATCGTTTCTTATCTTTCTCTTGTGAATCTTGTATTTTTTGATGTATGTGAGACTAGGTACATCAGTTTAACTTAAAAATAGTGAGCATCAACATCTTCAAGTACTGTGATCTTGATTAAAAGTTGTTGTATAATTCAAGATTATTATATATAAGTTGTAATTTGTTTTAATGAAAAACTTCATGCTAAGGTTACTTAAAACTGGATATAGATTCACTCGTAATCAAATCAATATAAAATTTTGAGTTCTTTTCTTCTTCTCCTTATCTTGATATTTTTGTTTTCTTAATATTGTTATATTTTTTTATATTTAATTATCAAAAAAAAATTAATAATTGATTAGAATTAAAAAGATTTAAAAAAACTAATTCACCCCTTCTTAAATATGTTATGTGATTAATATTTTTAATAACGTAAAAATCATGAATTAAAAAAATAGTATTTTTAAATTATAAATAATTTCAATTTTTAAATAATTTTAAATTTACGATCATATCAAACAAAAATTGTATCCAAATATTTCTTATAACTTAATATCCATATGTATATTAAGTTCAACTTTTTCCCAACCATTTAAATTTTATATAATGAGTACGTTTAGTTAATTTATCCATTTTATTATCTTATTTTTATTTTAGAATGTGAATAAAGTAAAGATCTTAAACAATTTTAAATATTCCACATTTTTTTCAAGTACATCTCAAAAACAAATATGAAAAGAAAGTTATCAAAGAAATAAAAGAAGAAATTATAAAAATAAAATAAAATAAGAGTTATACCGATAAGAAAGACATAAAAAGAAGGGTCGTAATAAAAGAAAAATTATAGAAAAGGGGTTGTCATAATAAATTAGGAGTTTTTAAAATGTATAATAAAATAAAAAACAATATAAAAGTTGTTATTTTTCATTGATAATTGATAGGCATTATTTGTGGAGGATATATTTTGGAGTTTCAGTCAAAATTTTCAAAGAAATATTTACAGAAAGAAAGTGAAAAAAAAAATGAACTAAAACTAATTTATTCATAAATTAAAATCCAAATTTGAAATAGTTTTACAAATTAATTTCTATGTAGAGTAACTTTAGCTTATACAACTATTATTTCATTTTTATTTACTTTTTTTCCAGTACAAATTCTTATTATATAAAGTTTATTGTTATATATTATTACTATCCCTATTGATGTTTTTAACATGGACAAATTACTAGTCTATTTCTTCAAGATAAGTTGTATTTTTCAAGAACACCACGTTCAGATTCGATTGATATTTTTTTTTCAATTATTTTAAATATACAATTAATTTTTTAAATTATATTTTAATCGATGATTATTCAATCGTACATGTTTTTAAATTATAAAAATTTATGTTTAATATTGTGACATGTGTCTTTTGTCCATAGCGAAAGACTTTTGAAATTTCTAAAATAATGAAGATAAATCTGATTGATTTATCCTAAAAAACAGTTAGTAGTTACTCCAGAATTTGATGCAAGAAGAATAAGCGACTCTGTATACTTTGAGTGTATATCTCAGCAATTATAATAATATTGTAGAATTGAGAGCTTTATATAATCTTTTTGGTTTAATAGATTTTATTCACTTAAATTAATACATGATAATTTGGTGCTTGATGCAGTTAGGGATGAAAAAACGGCTGTCCGTTTCATTTTGGTTTGGGGTCCGTGAAAATCAAGTGGGAGGAATAGTTCGTTATACGTATGATAGGTTATATATCTCGATTGGTCTTGCCAAAAAGATGGATTGATGGATTCATCTGTTATATTTTTTATTTTATTATTTTTAAATTAAATTTTTTTAATAAATTTAATAATAAAATTATCATTATCAATAATTATATATATATATATATAAAGTTAATAATATAAATTAATATATTATTTTAATAAATTATATTTTCTGATTCTTTGTATTGTATCATAATAAAAAAAATATTAATAAAGCGGGTTGTGGACTGATTTACCCCGTTCTTCGTGGATTGACTTGGCAGGTTGGTGAGTTTAATGAAATGAGTAAAAATAGGTTGACGGACTCAAAGTACTAATATGTCCCATGCATATTATGGCGGGTCGACTCGTAGGACTCGATGACTCGTTTTGTTATCGTTAGTTGCAATCACGTATTTAGTTTTTTTTATTTTTTCTATAAATTCAACCATATTTAAGTAGAAAAAACAATTTAATCAGATTAAGTTTTTCAAATTCACATCTACTAATTAAAAATTAAATTATTTTAAGGAGGAAAATATCTCAAATTGACAGTTTAAAAAATGTAATAAAAATTTTTAAATTATTTTTAATTTTATTATAATTATTATTGTATATGATTTATGAAAATAGACACAAAATCAATCACAATTAAAATATTATTTTTTTAATAATTGTTATAATATTTTATATATATCATAGTAGTATAATTATTATTATATATCTAATTTTTTAATAATAATTTTTTATAACCGTTTTATTAAACTTTTTAATTTGTTCATTTTATTATTCATTTTATCGTGACACCTTAATTTCACTCCTCTTTTCTTATTTTTTCCTCCTCCAATGTTTCAATTCTCTTCTTTTTCCTTTCTTGATTGCAATGCAACTCTTTTTTTTTTTTTATCTCTCTTTTGTAATGTGTTTCTCTCATTCTAAAGTGTTTGTCTCTATATTATAAATGTCGACATTCAAAGCTACTAAAAAGAAGAATAATAAAAGGTAATATTTGTTGAAGTGAAGGATGAGAACAATATTTGCTTGAACGTGTGAAACTGTGTCAAAAAAGCAATATTAAGGTAATAGTGAAATTTTTTAAGTTTATAGGAGCGAAACAATAAAGATAGAGTAATAGAAATTTATAAGTTTGTCACTGCCGAGCAACAATAATTACAGTGAAAATTGGTATGTTGATATGAGAGAAGAATAAAGAAAAAGAAACTTTCAATTTTGTTACAATGAAGAACAAGGGAACAAAATGAGAATTTTCACATGTAACAAATATTATAAATATAACTATAAAACTTATAACAATAATTTAAAATTTTTGTTAATTTATTTACGTCTAATGACAATTATAATAACAAGAGTCCAAAAATCCTAAAATATAATTTTAGTATTATCTTATATCTCTTTTCTAATCTTAGTCACAATTTGTGTTTTGGCCTTATTTGACAAATAATGAAAAAAAAAATTATCTACAAAAGACAATCATATCCTAAAATAAAATAGAATATAAGTGATGTAATACTTTAATTAATGAACAATTCATATTTTTAAAGTCAAACTATTTATATAAATTTTTACTTAAAACTTTTGTAAAAAAAATATTAATTAACCATATTTATTAAAGTATTCTTACTTAATTACTTATAGTATGAGACCCTTTTGCTACAAAACCACTGGTTTAAATACATGAAAATATGTATATTTCGGTAAAATAGATTAACACAGATTCTTTTCTAACTACATAAAAATTTGAAATATTCAATTAAAAATACGCATGTATACAAGTAATTCATGTGAATGTAGGGATATATTTTACTAGTTTATACAACAAATCCAACCTCATCAATCAAAACCCTAAATGTCTACAAATAAATAAACCAAAATTAATTTTAGACCAAAACCACAAAAATAAAAATAAAAAATTGAACGGTGATCAGTTAGTGGTTGGTTCCTTGTTGTGAAAGCTACCAAGTAACTGGCTTGAACGAACCCTGACTTGTAATCGCACAAGTGCGTGCATACACTGCATTGCTATACGTGATTGTTTCCTCACCCACACCCCACGAGCCAACGCTTGCACCTTCACTAGGCTTTTCAATGCTTTATATGCTCTTCTCGCCTGTCCATTACACAATTAACTCAATTATGCTTCTATCTACATATCAGCATTAAATACCCACCACGCACAATTTCAATGATTTGTTTCCAACCATAAACTTAATCAAACTTAGCAAAATTGGCTTTGAATAAAACTTAACAACGTTTGGGATAAGATGGCATACTAGATGTCCCCTGAAATAAGCTTGGATCTTAATGGCCGCAGCATCTTCCTTGGTGATTGAAGAGATTGGTGCTGGTGCAGGGAAGAAACTGAAGTCTTCGTTCCTAAGTATGGCTTCTTCGCATTCGTTAGTGCAAACACTTGTACGAGGTAGAATGAAGTCTTTGTTGGATGATCTGATGAATCTCCCTCGAAAAATTCTTAACCATTTTTGCGACACACCCATTTTACTTGTTTTGTTGTGTTTGGAGTGAAGTGCTCGGATATGATGTGATGGATTTAAGCTCGGGAGTGGCGTAAAGGAAGGAGAGAGTAGTGGGAAACATGTTCGAAAATCTTATTCTTTTTCTTTGGTGGTATGTGATGTCAGAGTTGTGAAACTGAAAACGTGGCGGCATGATTTTCTTTCCGAGGATTCCAGTGTGTGTTTAAAGCATTCGCAACCAACTGGCACGAGACGGATCAAATAAAGTGTCACTATCGGAAATTCTTCTCACGGCTTGAGTCATCTCAATACTCCATCGTTGGTGCTTTTGTATATCATAGCAGTTAATATGCTTCAAAGGTAACTAACCAAGTATTACAAGCAAACCAAGATTTATTACCACCACCCTTTTTAACTTTTCTGCCAGTGACGACCCCACACAGAGATGCCTTATGAGGGAGAACAAATTAACCTGATTCTGAGTTCTGACATTCAACAGAAAGGATGCTTGTTTTGAACTCCAATGGAAAAAAATGTTTGCCTAAAGATGAAGTTTTTCATACATATAGACCTTTTACCAGGCTGACACACCACAACATCAGTATCTGAGCCAAGCACGAGTGCATTTGCTTTGCACTCACAACAACAATTTCATCATCTTTCCCAAACTGGGATCAGACTCCACAGTTGAAACTTCTGCAAGAAACTCTGTTTAATATCTAAGAACATGAATGTCATCTACTTAAAATGAACATTTATTTAAAAATTATAAAACATATATTTTAAACTTAAAGGTTTTATTGTTAAAAAAATGTTTTAAAGGTTATTATTTTTAATTTTCCCTTTAATCATAATAAAATAATAAAAATTTGGTTAAAAAAGTTTATCTGATTTCACAACATCAAATCAATTTACTTAAAGCGATGATTTTATGAAGATGATGAGAAAATATGAAAGGTAATTTTTACCAACCTTACATAAATAAGACATTTTAATGAAGAGTTGTAAAAATGAAAATCCTATAAATATATTTTATTTTGACCTATTAGTATTGTTATAAATAATTTTTTTATGGATTTAAAATCTCAAATTCTCGTAAACATCACTAAAAACACATTTCACTGAACCTTAGTTAAAGATCAACTTTTAATTATTAAAAGTTATTGTCTAATGAGAACATGAGTAATTAATTTTCTTTAGTTACGATAGATTTGATAGAATACGTATAAACTCTTGATTTAAAATTTATTATTTAATTATATTTTATTCTCTGTATTTAATGTTTGTATTAATTTGATTATCTTTACTTATTTAATTGAGATTTGAAATATGGAGAAGTACACCTATTTAAATCTAATATTAAAAATAAATTATTTTAATTAAGCATCTTTAAAAACTAATTATTATTATTATTATTATTATTATTATTGAATCGTAATTATCAATTAAGTGTTTTAATATATATTTTCTTTTAATAAGTATAATACTTAATTAATTATTTAATTAATTGAGAAGGTTATTTGCACTAATTACTTAACCAACAATTAATGAACAAAGGAAACAAATATATTAATTTCGTTTAAAAGTAAGGAAACAAATATTCATCTAATGTTAATTTCATTTAATCATTTCAATAAAGTTTAAATACTTTAAACCAATGATAAATATATTTGTAGTTTTGTTGAAGTTAACGATAAATATATGTCTAGTTCCTTAATGTGGATATTTTCATATCATAGTTTATCAACCACAACTTGTGAAGTTTCACAATTGGAAATTAAATGTCGTGGTAGTTCGTTGATGAACACTACCATCTCATAGCGAGAGACACACGCAACTGCTGGCTGCGGATACATAAAATCGTGCACTTGCTCAACATCTGGTATTTCCAATCTCTCAATTCATAGCATAAATTACTACCATTTTCCATTTGCAAAAGAGCTTATTCTTTACTGCGTATGTTGGGTCTAACGTTGGTTCGCTTCACGTTGTTTTTATCCCGCGACATGTTTGTGAAAATGCTTAAGAGAGATGTTTTTCTTGAGCTGGGGTCGCCCCTCTCCCCAAGACCAAAAAGCTTGCATCAACAAGTAAATAACACATGATTTAACTTCTTTACTAGGAAATTGGACACCTATTTCCAATTGCATTATTTCTGTGGCTTATTACTTTTTGCCATGTTACCAGGTCAGGTACTTTCAACTATGATGACAAATATAAAGGAGCTACTGCTAAATCATTGTCTTCCCTTAAAGCAGACGAGGGACTCTCCAGAGATGGATTTTTACTAAATGAAGCACGAGTTCTGGTTGGTTCTGGTGTTGAGACTTTTGAAAAAGGCAAGAGTGCCCTCAGAAGCTGGAGGTATGTTCATATATGAAATAAGGAAATAAATGTGCATTGTGGTTTTAATATGCTAAAATGTTGAAGTGGGTGCACATTTTCTCACTTTTGGGAAGTTTGTTTCTTCTTTTAGGTGTGTGTCCTGATACATTTAATGTGGGAAAATTGCTTGCAGGCATTTTGGATTGAATTGGGCATTTGTTGATCCGAAAACACCAGTTCAACAAGGAGTGAAGTTCTGTGTTTGCGTCAAGGAGTTCTTCCCGTGGATCATGATGCCACTTCAGGTTGTGTATGTAAATGAAACGCCCATTGCCAAAAACCGCGGGGCCTCCTTTGGTTTTGGAAGTGGCACTCTTCATGGTCACTTGCTGGTAACTTGTTTTTCTTCGATCTTGCTGCTTTTCTCTTCTTCTTACTCTTTTTATTTTGGGCCTGTAATTGAATTTTTGAAAGGGTTTAAGGAAGTTGTTTGAGTTCTGGTATTCATTCTCAGAAATTCAGGATAACTAATTGGGGAGTCACTTGAGTTCTGGTATAACTTATAAACCCATAATTGTTACCATGTAGTATACTTCTTTCTGCAGTAGCCAGTTTACCTATTTTTAATGGTGTTATTTTGTGAGACTAAGCAAAACGAACTCCATCATATTCCTCACTTAAGTAATAACCATTGTCTTTGTTAAGTTTGTCTCATGCTTGATTGTATTGTATATTTATGTGCTTCCATAGCAATTATGTATGATGAACTAGAAAAAAATATGGGGAAACTGAAGAGTTTTAATATGTTAATGTAGAAATGGTTTCAACAAGTTTCTCTTACCTTGATTGGCACCTTGTATATGAATCTTTTAGCGAACAAGCAGTGATAATTTTAAATATGTTATCTTTATGGCCACAGTCTGGAGAAGAGCGCTTTTCGGTGGAGATTGATGAGAACAATCAAGTTTGGTACGAAGTGCTTTCTTTCTCAAAGCCTGCCCACATTTTATCATTTCTTGGGTATCCATATGTGATGCTTAGGCAGAAATACTTTGCTAATGAATCTTCCAAGGCTATGCTGAAACATATTAATTCTTCAAAGTCGTAATGAAATATGTATGTTATTGGTAATTGAAGAAGATTTGAATCTTTATTTTCATTTTTATCTCTTTTTTAAGTAAATATTCTGCATCTTTCTCTTTTGCGACACTTCTCTAAAATATTTCTTCGTTTAACTGTGTCATTATGCTGTTTCGTTTTTGCTAATGGATGGGATGCTACGTTCCCTTTACTATTTTACTATCCCCTTGAGACGCTTTCTTGTTCAACTGGGTTGATAATGCTGTTTTGCTTACTTTGTTGTTATGTGCCTTCATACTTTCCTTGCTGGCACCTGCTTTTGGCACTCTAATGTTGATTCCCCTCTTCACTGAAGCACCTCATCTTCTTCCACTCCTCTGCAACTGCCACCGTCTCACTCCCCCTTCAACCAATCAACCTCAAAACCCTATTTGGGTGCACCTCCCTTGTGGAAACCAAGCCTCTCAGACCGCAAAATCCTAACCCACCCCACAAAAACCCCAGTCTGAGCATGGCCTCCTACTTCTGCCAAGCCCTATCAATATGTGGAACAACATTGTGGCGGGGCTATATTAAGCAAAGAGATGGGTGAGATAGACGGCAGAAGAGTATAGAGAGATTTTTGGCGTTTCGTATCTCTCGCACCACACCATTGACCCATTCAAAGTTCATATTTTGTTCATTTTCTATTTCTTTATGAATGTTTGCTTTATTTGATATTAAAAATATGCTAGGCTTTGACTTATGAAATTGATTACTGGTTTTGATATTCATATTTTGCAGTCTTGGCATAAAAGATTTCTGGATATCATAACTACCACACCTGCATATTAACTGAATTTGAACCACATTTACTCTTTTAGTAGGATGTTTTGTTCTTATGAGCTTCTTGCGTTAGAATTTCAAGCGGACATCTCGCGCGGTTGGTTATCCTTACAAGACCACATTACTACGAAAATTTGTTACCAAATTAATTGCCTCTTTGTTCATTATGCAATAACATACATAAATAATGTATTTTAAAAAAATTATATAAGAATGACGTTAATGTATTTTCGACTAATGTTAGTTATATTTTTTTTATTAATAATCTTTCATGGTTTATTTTTTGTTAATGTTTTTCTATGATTATTTTTTAGTAACACCACCAATATTTTTTTTTGAATTATTTTTTTAATTTTTTTATGTTAAACGAGGAAATTTTCGTCGAATCTTACTTAAGGGTTATTTTAGCCAATGTCATCCAGGAGAATTATTTAGCTGGTGTTTATTGAAAAAACAGTAAAAAATCCTCACTAACAACCTAAAAAAAAATAACTTTTAAGTTAAAATAATTGTAGCCAATTTCAATTGAAATGACATGGATGGATGTTAATTGAAAAAAAAATCTTGTCTATAGGAAAAATCTTGCAAATTTTTACCAAATAATATTATTACGGAAAAACATCACTTATGATTATTAAATGTTAAAATAAATGTTTTAATTGGTATTATTACAATATTCTATTTTAACCAGAAATATAAAATATAATAATTTAAATTTATCCTATTTAAACAAAATATTTTAAAAATAAAATAAAATAAATTCAAATTAAATATATTTAAAATTACAAAATTCTCTATTCAAACATATGAAAAAAAGGAGATATATCACATTTTTATTTAATATCAAATTGCTTAATTAATGTTTCTCTTAAATAAAATGGTATATTCAGTTGTAACTTGGTCGGTCAACCATTCTTATTAAGATGACTCATTTTAAGATGAGATATATCTTTTATAATTTGATTCTAGGTTAAAAATAAATCTTCAAATTTAATTAAAGAAATGTAAAATCACCTGGCTCAACAGATTTTAATCCTTATAGTTAGATTTTATGTATTTAATATATATATATATATATATATATATATATATATATATATACTATATCAATAAATAGAAATCGTATATAGTTATTAAGATGACTATTTTTAAAGCGAATAATTTAATATATATACTGTGATTGGATGAAAATGTGAAAAACTATTAAACTGTGAATACATACATCTTTTTATATCAAACACTTTAATAAAGATTTTTTTTTCCATTATATAAAAAATTATTATTTGAATCATGTTTTATACTTAAATAAGATATATGTACGAAAATTAGATTTAGGTAGATTCCTCATATAAACTATTTATTTGATTAAAATTTTGTTTAATAATTTTTAAAACATTTTTTATTCATTTATTTTTTTATAAGTTATTTAATAAAATAATTATAAAAATATTAATTATATTAATAACTAATATTTTATGTTAATAATAATTAACTTTTATTGAGGTCAAAGTCAATCCCCCGTTAAAAACTGAAAGTGTCGTGCAGAGTTCAAGGAATTCAAAAGTGTCACCACTCAGGTTATAATGACGTTAAATCATATACATTTTTTTCTTTTTCTATCCACCAATAATTTTCAGTTGCGTCTCTTATTCACACGCGTCATTTTTTTTTTTTTTACGCATAATTTTAAATAGAAAATATTTATTCTTATTCTTATTATCAATATATTTTGTATATGTTTTTACCATAGAAAAAAAAAGTCTCAGCTTTAATATCTTTATGCAGTTGTTATTTCATTAACATAGAGTGAAGGTTTGATATGTGAAAAAAAAAACGAAAATCCAGACTTGGAAAAAGTTATCTCTTGGAAAAAAATGAATAAAAATAATAATTATATCTCAAGTTTTAAATATTATTTTTTAACTATTAATAATAAACAATTAGATATAAATATTAAAATAATAAATAAATTTATTAAAAATATTAAAATAATATTTTAATCAATTAAATCAATTTTACTTTTTATAACTTTTATTTATTTCCTTTTATTTTTTATTATTTTTATTTCAACTCAAAAATTTTATTTTCTATTCTCATCCTCTTATTTCTACTTCCTCAAATTCACATTTTAATCTAAATACAAATTAAAAGTTACATAAATTTTTCTTATCTATTTAATTAGGTTTTTATTTATTTATTAAGGCTAAATAATTTTATTGTTTTTTAACTTTATTTCGTTATTATTTTTATTATTGATTTTAGTTAATATATCACTTTAATATATACATTGAAAAGGCTATATTGCTTCGCTTAATAATGAGATGGTATTAAAGAATAAAATAAAAAATTAATTATAAACTTATCATTTGATTTTTCTAAAGTTTACATAAAATATTAAAAAAACATTTCTTTTATTAATAAATAAACATTTATTTTATTAAAAAACATTTCTTTCATGATGATTTGTGACAATAAATTATTCATTCTAACATAAGCTATAAAAAATATATTTATATGAATCTCTTAATCAAATCTTAACACTACAATAAAATCGCAGTATATCGATCGGATATATCCGTCGGTAAAATAATAATTAGTTACCAACGGATATATCCGTCGATAAATCCGTCAGTAATTGACAGATGAATTTACCGACGGATATATCCGTCGGTAAATCCTTCGATAAATTAATAATTAATTACTGACGGATATTTCCCTCGATAAATTATCAATTAGTAAATATTCAACTAATTAAAAAATTAAATATTTTTTTTAATAATTTCATTTTATCATAATTAGATTAATTTATAATAATTTCTTAAATTAAATAATTTAAAAAATAAATATTTAATTATATATAAATATATAAATATATAAATATATAAATATATAAATATATTTGTATATAAATATAATTTATTTGTAAATTATTATGGAAAAATTCTGGTAGCTTAGTGGTTGGAGTATCGACCTCTAACTCTACAGGTATCCTATAAAAATGTAATAGGGAAAAATAATTAATAATAAATAATAAAAATATAAAGGGAAGGGGTATTCTATAAAATAAATAATCTATATAAGTAAAATAATTAATAAATAATAAAAATATTACAGACGATTCCTGTCCAGTTGGTAATTTTGTCAAACATTTAGCGACGGATATATCCGATCGTAATTACCAACGGACTATTAAATCGTCGGTAATATTTACCGACAACCAAATTTCGACGAATTTTTGGCAGTCGAAAATCCGATCGGTAAATGGATATTACTCGACGGATTTTTGTTATTACCGACGGATTTTGACCGTCGGTAATATCAAAATTTCGTATAGTGTAATAAGATGATTTAGGATATGGGTTCTAGTATCTTAAACAATATTAATCATTATTTTCGATAATAAATAAATTGTTCCCATTTCATAATTAAAAAAAAAAGTGATCCGTTTAATAAATTGGAAAAAGAAATTTAGATAAATAACAAGATGATTTAGGATATGGGTTCTAGTATCTTAAACAATATTAATCATTATTTTCGATAATAAATAAATTGTTCCCATTTCATAATTAAAAAAAAAAGTGATCCGTTTAATAAATTGGAAAAAGAAATTTAGATAAATAACATGGATAAAAATATAAAAAGTAATAAGAATATATCAATTTGATTCTTGAGTTTAATAACTATCGATTAATTGGGAGTTTGGTTTTTTGCATTGGAATTATGATTCCAGTTATTATGATAAAATAAAGTTGAAAGACTAAGATTTTATTTTAAAAAAATGCAAAATAATGTTGATTAATATAGTAAATAGAGACTCACTATTATACTATTATATTTTCAACTGAGAAACTAAACTCAATATTTAGTCTCCAATTAGAATCCATGGATAATTAATTTATACCTTAATTTTATTGTACATTAATGATTTGGTATTAAAAGCAATGGAAACCAATCTTTATAGATGTCAAATGAGATTATATTAATAATAATTTTAAAATTTAAATAGTATTTTTTAATTCTGTAATATTGATTAGTGAGAAATAATTAATTGAAAATATTAATTTTTAAAATTAAATTAAGCTATAAAATTTATGATTAGAAAAAGGAAAGTGATAGAGTTGAAAATGAGAAAAAAAGGAATAAAAAGTGATATTTTTTAGATAAAAAAATGAAAGGTAAAATAAATTTATATATTATTTTTACTTATATTTAATTATCTCAATAATTTTTATTATTTTTATCGTATTTTTTTAAGTTCATATTTTATTATTAATATAATTTCTTCTTTTTTTTCTTCCCTGTGAAGTGATGCGAATACAATGCAAGGTTATTTCTATACCTTTCTTCACAAATTTAAAGAGAAACTCCATAATATTTTCTTGTTCTAAATATTGGTGCTTTATGCATAAATGGTTAGTCACATTTACTTCTTTTTTATATTCTGAACTTCTTAATTAACATGTTGAATTACAGTAAATCAAAATTAATGGTTTAATTATATATAATATTATTAAAATATTTTTTAATATTGATGTATCTAACATACTTATTTCAAAGTTATAATTTTTTTTATATATTATAATTGAATTATATGTTCAATATACAAGATCTACTAATGAAATATTGATACTTTTGGCAAACACAAACAATATCCTTTCTTCTCAAACTATAATTTACTTTGGCGGACTTATTTAACGTATAATCATTATAGAAAATTTAACTGATTTTGATTTTACTTATACACATTTAAACCTTAGAACAATGATAATCTAACACACATGATCTTTTGTTAAACTACATGTAAACATTACTCAAATATTTGACTATAGAGATAGCAAAAAAAATATTGAAATAAATTACTCCTTCAGGTGTGAAATCAAAAGATCATTTACGATTTTATACAAATCAAAACTAATGCTGATATGACTCAAATGATAACTGTTGAAAAAAAAAACACACAATCTCTACACTCAATCATGCTATGTGACACAAACATGAAAATTTTTTTGAATTATTTGTTCAAGCTAAGAACATATAAAAGACAACACATAAATAAATGATTTGTGACTTAAAAGATAATACATATGTTGATAAACTTCGTATAATAAAGTCCATATTTATTTTAGGATTTATAAGATGATTTTTTAATTAGTATTTATCTTATATTATTTCTAATTTATTTAAGTTTAATATTAACATGTATTGTTTCCATTATGCATCATTAATCTATGTACTTTTAATATTTTATATCATTAATATAAATATCTACAAAATATGTATTTACTAAATATACATTTATTTATTAAATATCTTATTATATAATATTTATTAATTGTATACAAATATTAAAATATATCAAAATATATAAATATGTATTAATTAAATATATATATTATTAATTATATATGTATATATTAAAATTTATATTTATATTTATATATATATATATATATATAAATCCATATCTTATTATTAAATCTTATATATAATTATATAAATACATATATATATATACATAAATATATATATATATATATATATATATATAAATACATTAATATTAGTATATATACTATAAATATAACAAATATATAAATATAAATAATATATATAAAAATAAGCTGATAAAAAAAAATCAAAACGCAATTCAGAATTCGATTTTCGAAAAATCGAATTCTGATTATATTTCAATCTCCACGTGCAATCTTGTATTTCAGCTTTTAGTACATTCCTATTTGAAATTCAGTTACTCAATAATCAAATTCTGATATTGATCACTAAATAGGTTTATTTGAGTAAATAAAGTGAGAGGAAGTGTATTTCATAAATAATAATTTTTTTAATATTATTTAAAAAAAGAAAATGGACTTTTGAGGATGAAGACGAAAGAGGAAAATGGGGGAGTTTGAAAAATAAGAAAGAAAGAGAAAGTTTGAGAATTTGAGTGAGTCCTGGGAGAATAGAAGAGGCATCATGATGAAGGCGTCCCAGGTGGGTTTGCTTCTTCGTCAGAAAAATGTCCACGTGTTTCAACAAAGGTTGCCTTTCTTGACTTTTTTTTTTTTTCACTCTGTTTTCTTATGACTTGGCTACATTAATTTCATTTTTCATACATTCGAACCACAAAATCAGAAGGTCAAATCAAGTGGCAACCGAATATCCTGCACTGTGGAATGATGATGGCTAAAATACACGATTCATTTCTCTCTCTCTCTTCTTAAATATTTCTGTATCCTTCAAATATCTTTGGGAATTGTCATGACATATGCTTATCTAATGTGATATTTTCTTAATCTGTTTGTTAGGTGTTACTAAATTAACTGAATTAATGTACTAAATTGATAAAAAGACCATTTTACTCTAACTTATTGAGACTTTAAAACCTTACAAAGCTTCAGAATCAAACGGAAGCCAAAAGTGTATTTTAGAGTAGAAAAATTATATGAACTGAAAATTGGTTTTTCATTTGATCGTGAATTAAGACAGAGACATGATTGATTGTAGCAAGAACATGCAGAATCACTTTTGTACACAGGCTCCCATTATATATACTACTCGAAGTGTAACAAATCACACTATTTTGTTCTTGATTCTTGTAATAAATACAGAGTGAAATGAGAAGATCGCGGAGAACAAACCAGTTATTCCAGCTTTTCATCTCAACCAACTTGTGACACGGGGTCACTCAGGACATGAACCAAAATACTCAGCAGGCAAAGTGATTTTCCACAAATCAAGATCAACCCTCCGTCTGTATGCCAAGTAGTTGTGTGTCTGTACTCTGCATTTCTTCAGGGAGAGGGGTTCCACAAAAAAGCTTCAACTTGCGACAACAAAGCACATATATCAGTAAAGTGATCAAAACTAGTATCACTTTATAAAGTGATCACAATAAGTATCACTTTATATCAGTAAAGTGATAAAAACAGTGATAACAAGAGAGACAGTGAAAAATGATACATGTTAATCAGGTGTTTGGGGTGATTAGGTGTTCATAAATGGCAAGTATTGGACTACTGCCCAATTGCCACAAGCAAATATTTATCTATGCTTTGATTGAACAATATACATTATTGTTACAGCTCAAACAGTACATAGATAAACGAGTTTTTTGAAGTCATGGAGTCATCAAGAAATATATATTATTTGCAAATGAATAAGCTTTTGAAGACATGAATGGAAAGTGCAGTAAACACCACCGGGTTAAGAAGACAGTAAACACCACCAAATTAAGAGGCCAGTTTACATGAATGGAAAGTTCACTAAACACCACCAAGTTAAGAAGACAGGAAACACCACCAAATTAAGAAGCCAGTTATGTACATATATGATAAGATAGACACGACTTAACTAAAATACAAACATACATATGTCTAGACATAGATAGGAAGAAAAATGGAAGTAGTGTACTTTTAAAGTCAGTTATTGCGAAGCTGGTTTTGTCCTCCAATTCTCAGCCAGGATGAGTGAGAACACAGGGACTTGTCGATGCACGGATCAAAGTCAATGGCCATAATACTACGATCCTCTAAATTGTACATACGAACATCAAAGATGTCTGTGAAATAGATGCAATTCTCTTGGTAGCCAGTTATCTCTTTAGCAGAAATAGAGAAGCTACAACTATTACCCAAAACAAATGCTCTACCCCCTAAGTTTTTCACATCCACCCACGTTCCCCACTCTTCATCCAACTTATAAACCTTGAAAAACTCCACCGCAGCATCACGATCTGCACGTCCAACGTAGTTCCTTCTTCTGGGGGGTTCACTTTCATAGAACCTATCAACAACATAGAGACTTCCACATGACTCCACCAAATGCTTCTTGTTCCCAAAGCCACACAAGGGAGGAGAAAACTGCACCAACTTCAAGGAAGAGGTATCAACCCATGAAATGGTACCCCACTTGTCAGTGACATAAAACTGACTCTTGAACACTATAACATCATCGTAGAAAAAGTTTCTGTCATCCACAAGGGTCCATTTCTCATCCCCATGTCTCATGAACCCCAACTTCCCCTCCAAAAAAATGCAACAAGCCACGGAATCCTCAACCCCAATCCAAGGAGAATTGGGAAAGAACGCAACTTTGCTCACAGTGGCAGATAAGCGACTGTGAATGGTGTATGATTTGCATAACTCAATGACCCTATAGTTCAACAAGTTCCACGACATGGAAGAACTGGTGGCATGAGGGTACAGGATTTTGCGATCGGATATTGGACTAAGCAAAGCGAAGGCGTGATTCTTTGATTCCTCAACCTTGATCAACCACCCTTTGGAAGAAGGTGCCAAGGGCTCTAAATTGGAGGCTCCAAGGCTTGGTTCAATAATAAAGACTGTGGCTTGGTTTAGCACGGTGTCTATGGATTGGTTTATGGGCTGAGGAATCTGCATAGGAAAAGAAGGAGAATTGGGAAGAGAGGGAGGGATGGAAGATCGCCATGACTCACAAACACTGCGAAACCTCACAACATCCGCGTGGTTATCCAGAGATTTTCCGATCTTGGGCCATAACTCAATGGGAAGTTCAGACCAATCTACTATGTCATCCATGGCCACAAATTCAAACAATTGTTTGTTGAGTTTGGAGAAGAAGAATTGAGATTGGTCCGTGCCTTGATATCTGCGGAGGGATTTATCAAAAGGGATTGGGTCCAAAGAACGAAAGTACAATGAAATGATGCGGAAATCACAGAGAAGACTTGAGGGGGACTTCTAATTCCGTCTTCATCAGGTTTTTCATCCTAGTCTTACATGGAATGAAATTAGGAAAGTTATGTTGGGAATGATTGACTTCAAAGTCTTTTTCTAATTTCTTTCCTTTAAACAATAAACAATTGAAAATGCCATCTGTTACGAGGTTGTTGGTACAAATATACGGCACTTTTTATATAAAACTAATGCGATGCATCATCAAAAATATATATTCATCATCTATAATATCACAGATTCAATCAAATTTTCAGTTATGATATAGTTTGGAAAGCAAGATTCTCAATTATTTTATTTTTAATAATTTTTTCTCTCCTCTTTTGAAGGAATATAACTTTATTATCGAGCATTCAAATTAATTAATACAATATTTTTTGTTAACCGGTATTTTTGACCTTGAATTCAATGTAACTAAATTTTAAAGAAGAACTTTATGGCTTATACAATTTTATTAAATTTAAACATAATTATTATATACTTTTGATAAGAAAGAAGTATGACTTTAACTTAGTTTACCAAAAAAAAAAAAATGAGCATCACTGAGAATAATAAAAAAAAGTCTTTACTACTCACCTTAGTTCTACACAATTATTATCTGAGTTTAATCTTACATTATTAACATTATAATGAAATTTTTAATATGTTAATAAGTTCTTTATTATAAAAAATATCTAAATTTATCTTTATTCTTATATATATAATTTTGAATTTCTTATTTACACAAATGATTCAATTTTACTTCACATTGTAACTAGTATTTTAGTCTATGTATGTTATGAATTAAAATAATATTGTGTAATTTTTATTATTATAATAATTACAATAGAAGTTTTTTTAACAAATTTGTTTCTAGAAAATTATTAAATATTTCTAAATATATTAATTTTCAATATAATTAATCCATGTTGTCAAGGTTATAAAATATATTAAAATTAAATTAGAGATAATATAATTTAAATCAAGATAAAGATAGAAAAAAAAACAAATTCATATAAAATCAAAGATGTAGAATAATTGAATTAAATAATGATCATTTATCTAATTTTTTTTTGAAAATAATCTCTATAAAAACATAAGTGTCAAAGAAAAATTAATTTAAGTTAAGAAAGAAACAGAAGAATTTAAGGAATGTCATAAAAAAATATAATTTTTTTTATATGAATATTTTCCTCTTAACATAAAATTTAAACTTTGATTTTTCTAGTTAAATGACATAATTACCTACCACTACTTTGTGACGAGTATTGGTAGTTAAGATCTATTTATGTAAATGAAAACAAAATTTTCAAGCTAATTTATTTACCACACCTTTACTTTGAAAACAAAGTGGTAACACGTTATATATATAATAGAATTTAATTCTGTTGTAAAGGCTCTAGATGTAGAGAGTTGTAGGAAAACGAAAATATTTTGTCCTACGCAAACAAACCCAACGCCATTAGTGAAGGTTGAAAGGTTAAATCCTTTTGGGATTAACAGAGTAAAACTCATTTCTCCAAGGCCAATTTGAGATCTGAGTTTGAGTTGAGACTGCGATTCGATTTGCGGAGAATAATGGAGTTCGTATCATCGGAGGTGGCGCTTCCTCTTCCTCTGGCGTCGGAGTCCCAGCAACCCTACGTCTCCGAACTCCTATCCTTCACGCTCGATCGCCTTCACAAGGAACCCGAACTGCTCCACGTCGATGCCGACCGCATTCGCCGTCAAATGCAAGAGGTCGCCGTTGCCAATTACCGATCTTTCATTGCGGCCGCCGACGCTTTAATCGCCATTCGCAACGAAGTCTCCTCTATCGACAACCACCTCGAGTCGCTCGTACCTTCTCTCTACTCTTGCTTTTTCATTTCATCTTTTTCTTATATTGCATTTTCTTGCTTTGGTTGTATTCAATTTCAAGCTTTAACGAAGAGGATTTGCTTATTGTTGCCAATGTGATTGTGCTTCGTACATACTATTCGGAGCATTTCGTTGGGTTGGGACAAAATTATGTAGTTGGGTCCAACTGAGTATAGGGCGTGTTACTAATAGAATTGGATTGGAAAACTAAAGTGCAGGTGGAGAGGAATAAGATTTGTATTGACTATCACTCCTCTTCCTCAATCTGAGTCATCATGGTTACATAATCAAGAGGAAAACTTAGAAACAAACTTAGCTGAGAGGAATTTTGAGAGTCCTGAATTTTCCAACCAGCCTCTGTTCCAAATCCAATCCTATTGTTTGTACTGTGTCATTTCTTCTATCTCTTTCTCTTCTATTTTGTTATTTGACATATAAGTAGTTAATTTACTGTTAATGTTATTTGCGTTGTGGTTTGGTTATAACAGAAACCAATCCAAGTTCTAATGCCCTGTGCTCACCCTAATTCCTCCTAGCATATAAGGAATAACACTATGCAGCTACAAATCTCATCTTGTCCCCTAGGTAAAATTCTTCTAAGTGGCGTCTGATTACCAAGAAATCCAGAAGATCGCGGTGGTCAATAAAAAATTCTTTGACTTAAGAAGGATGATCTCAGATAGTTATGACACCAGCTTGCTGCACCTTAAACTTTAAATCACTTAGAGGGGGACAATTTGAGCTGATTGAAACATTTTTAATCTTGTTCAAAATCTGGAATGGGCCATAAGATCCAAGGTTCAGCATTTCATTGATTTTCTTAGCCAATGATCTACATTGACAGGGCTGTATTTTAAAGAAAAAACCGTTCTCCAAGCTGTTATTCAACATTTCTGCTATGCTCCTTGGTAGTTAGTATCACCCAAAGAAAAAAATACATATAGCAGTTATTAAAAAAAATTAAGGAGGGGGATGGTCCACACCTCCTCCCACTGCATCTGGCTCTGTTTCTCCCCATAATTCGTATGACACATAACTAAATCATTCTTACTGTTATTACAATTGAACTGACCCTGGTTTGTTTATAACAGAAACCAACTCTAATCCCCTATGTCATAATGTCACCTTATCCCCCTTAACATTTACCTTTTTATTATGTCTGCTAACAGTTTCCTTAACAGACAGACATGTAGAAAGATTAGAGAACTTTCCTGCTGCTTCAATGTTTTATCTTGTTCTTTGTCGCTTAATTTTCCCAGCTTTTGTGATAATACAATTTCCTTCTTGTCATAATGATTTTCTATTTTTTCTTGTGTGTTTGATCATAAACAATTGGCATTGAGTATTTATCTCCTCTGTCACAGATAAATGAGATCCCAAAGCTGACATCTGGATGCACTGAATTCATAGAATCTGCTGAGCAGATTTTGGAGAAGAGGAAGATGAACCAAACAATGCTAGCTAATCACAGTACTTTGCTTGACTTGCTAGAAATTCCTCAACTCATGGACACGTATGTTAAAAAAGATTGACTATTTTATTACACTCCTGGGATTTTCACGTATTAATGTTCTTACATGGTATGACAAACACTTTCTTCCTGTGTTAGAAGCCTTGTAAATTTCTATATTTTTGCAGATGTGTACGGAATGGGAATTATGATGAAGCCCTAGATTTGGAAGCATTTGTTGCCAAACTTTCAACCATGCATCCAAAGTAAGTTTATATGCTTCTTTCATACTGTCTATAAGTAATATAACTTTAAATAAGTTATTTTTCTTCCTGTTATGTATATATGTATATGTCTAATATATATTTGTATATATATATATATATATATATATATATATATATTTATTTATTTTTTTCTGTTCTTGTTACTAAATGTTTCTCCTGGGTGTAAAGATTACCAGTGATTCAAGCGTTGTCTGCAGACGTTAGGCTGACTACCCAATCACTTCTTTCTCAGCTTTTACAGAAACTTCGCTCAAATATTCAGGTTTATGCAGTGATTGTGTTTTAATATACAGAGAAAACCCACTTGATTTATCTACAAAAATATTTATGTAACTGGTTTCTCATTACTGTATCTTCCTTTGCCAGTTACCTGAATGCCTTCGCATTATTGGATACCTACGGCGAATAGGAGTATTTAGTGAGTATGGAATGCGTTTGCTGGTGAGATTTTTTCCGTACAGTTTTTTTTTTTACCTTGAAATTTTCAGTTCAGTTGCATTTTCTTGGTCTCTTTTCTGGCTTTCATTTGACTTAGCATTTATTTGTTTCTAGTTCTTAAGATGCCGAGAGGCATGGCTTACTGGTATACTGGAGGATCTGGACCAGTCAAATCCGTACGAATACTTAAAAGGGATGATCAACTGTCACAGAATGCATCTTTTTGATGTTGTTAATCAATATCGAGCAATATTTGCGGACGATACATCAGGAAGCGAGGAAAATTATGACGGTGGGCTTCTCTTTAGTTGGGCAATGCACCAAATTACCTCACATCTACAAACACTGAAAGTTATGCTTCCAAAGATAACGGAAGGTGGATCACTGTCAAATATTTTGGATCAGTGCATGGTGGGCTTCTTCTATCATGCTCTGTTGGTTATGAAATTGGAAAGAATTATAATATTGTATAGACTACATAATTTTGAGGCATATTGAATTTCTAGCAACTCCCCTTCATGTAGAAAATTAGGGCAAAGGAGAAGAACTCGTCACATTCTTTTATTTTCTGTTTTTTCAACAGTACTGTGCCATGGGACTTGGTTGGGTTGGACTAGATTTTCGAGGCTTGCTCCCATCACTTTTTGAAGAGTAAAACATGATCCTTTAATGATTCTTTTATTCTATTAAGCATATATTTAAAACTTTTTTTAATTATATGATGGTTTCTTTGCAGAGCTGTTCTCAACTTATTCTCCAAAAATATGAGTACCGCAGTGGAGAATTTTCAGGTAATGCAGTGAAGTTTAAATATTTTACATGGCAATTACTGAAAATGCTTTTATGCATTGATCATTTTTGTTTATACGAACAAGACAACATCTAGGGACCTCTTTTTCTTTTTTTCCGCCAGCTAGTTGTCTATCTTTTATGTAGTGATAATGAGATGGATTTTTTCACAGTTGGTCTTGGATTCACATCGATGGGTTCCCCTGCCAGCAGTTGGCTTTTCTGCCAATTCTGTTGGTGATGAAAGTCACGAGGATGTCACTCCACCCTCTAATTTGATGGAGCATCCACCTCTAGCTGTTTTCATTAATGGTGAGTCTAGTAAATGTTTTCTTCTAGATATCTTTAGGACATTACTTTTCCATTTATCGTTTGCTTAATTTACACTCCCTCACACATGGTAACATGTACTCACAATCACAGCTGGAAATATAAAATAAGCACAAAATGGAAACTTTCATGGTTGATGGCTCATGTTTTAAGAAGCTTCTTAAATGAAACTTCAATAGGTACTGTTTTAATCATTTGATTCCATAATGCTTTATGATGTATGCTTCATATGCGTCCTGCATTTATAAACCGTTTGTTAAAAGGAGAAAACAAAGAGACATGACTAAATTTGGTTGTCAACTGTAAATATAAACAACTGAATTTATTATTATATAACGTGGGTAATAATTACTGAGAAAATATTTTTATGATTACCGTAATTATGTAACTTTCTAACTAACCATAATTAAGGATATCTAACAATATCCAACAATTTGGTAATTTCTATAATTGAAGATATATAGTATGTAACACCCTTTATCCATTTGCATTAATGTCTACTATGTTGTGGCTGCAGGTGTATCTGCAGCAATGAATGAGCTACGTCCATGTGCCCCAATAAGTCTAAAACACTTACTTGCCCAAGAATTGATTAAGGGATTACGGGCAGTTTCTGATTCATTGTTGCTGTACAATACAACTCGGGTGCTAAGGGCTAACGAGTCAGCGCTTTTCCTCTCACTCTGCCGGTCATTCATTGAGGTACTTCATCACTCTTACGCAATGCGCAGCTTGATTACTGATTCTATTTTGGATGATCTGTACTCGTCAAGAAAATTACTCTACGTATTGATTACTTGATTTCCATGCAAAGATGTCATCAAGATTAGAACCTATAACCTAATGCAAACTCCTGAACCACTTCACCAGTAGTAGTTCAACCCAAGATGCTTTCTATAATCTATAATACTGATTAATTACCTTCAAATTCAATTTATAGGTCGCTTATCCTCATTGCGCAACTTGTTTTGGGCGTTGCTATCCTGGTGGAGCAACTCTTGTTATGGATGCAAAGAATGTTTATGATGGAATCAGCCGCCTTTTAGAGACCTCCTCTGCACGAGAACTCCCAAAACCAGTGAACAATGGAGAAATCAAGAGCGTTGCTGAGAATGGCGAACTGCCAAAAATGGAAAATGGAGAAACACCTGATGCCAAAGAATCTGAAGCCATCAATGGCGAAGAGGTGCACAAAGAAGGCCCTAAAGAAGGTCCTGAAGAAGGCCCTAAAGAAGGTCCTGAAGAAGGCCTTACTTCGCAGACAGATCAAGAAGACATTAATCTTGAAAAACCGCTTGAAAAATTACATTAGAGATGGACAAAGTTTTTAGTTTTTTATTTTTGATATTTCTCCCCGTTTCGGTGTTTATATCTTGGCACCCTTCGTTTTATTCGTCGTGTACTCTAAGACGGGTGTCTTCAGCTGTAATTATGTTATGGGATTACTTCATATGAATAGGACTTAGAAATTGTGTTAGAAGCACCAATAGATTACTTGTAGAGATCAGTTTTGTTTTCTGGGATAATATTTTCATACATTGCTAAATGTCTTGTACCTTCCAAGTGTCGTGTTTCTGCTTTCCTTTTACTGACATTGTTGGTTGAGAGAGAAAAAATACAGAACGTAGGTAAGTGAGAAAAACATTATGTTAGAAATAAAATGAACAGAGTGTAGAGGAAAGAAAAATAAATGAGCAATAGTACTGAAGTTGAAATTGTATAATTGAAAAATAATAGACTGAAATTAATTTTTAAATTATTTAAGATTTATTTGTTTACTGTTTTAAAACAATTTTCTGTATTTTATTTTTAAAAATCTAAAAATCTGTTTGATAATTATTTTATTAGAATAATTTTTAAAAATTGGTGTAGCTTTTTAGTTTTTAAATTTTTTTAAAAAACTGTTAAAAAGTATTTTTCTTTTTAGTTTTTCCATAATAATCAAAATAAGGAGAAGAGAATGTCTTTTAATTTTTTAAACTAAAATTCTTTCCAATTAAACTGAAATGACAAATAATGCTTACCACCTAATTTAATGTTTATTCCTTATAAAGAAAGTAATATTGAAAACAGTAATTTAAAGTTGTCTGATTTATTTATAGTTTCTAAAATTTGTGAAATTTTTTACTTTGTTTGTAATCCTTTATAAAGAAACAAAAAATATTTTATTTATACTAAATTAAATATATTTGATAAAAAATAATTAATAAAAAGTTTTAACAATTTTTTTTCAATTGTTAATTTTTTTTAAACAAGTTTTTTTTTCTCATTCTTAAATAAGTTTTTAAACTATAATTATAAAATAAAATTAAAAAAAATCTCAAAAGCAATTTTTTAAAATTCTTTACGAAAACTATTTTAAAAACTAAAAAAATACAATTATTTCGAACAAATTGTTAACAATGGGATGGTGTAAACTCCCTCAATTTAATATGGGCTCAGTCAAGTAAAAGTTCAGTTCTGTAGATTTTATTGTGGACAAATTTCTGATCGGCCGAACCCGATTCTAAAAGGAACAACTTAATGATGGAAATGAGACAGAATAGTTCAATTTTAACACTGAGCCAAATATTGGAGTAATTTTGACACACAAAAAAAATCACATAATGGGTATTAAAAATTGCAACTCTTATTACGCGCTCACAGACGCCACAATTTTACCGTATCGATCAGCATATCATTATAGGCATGATATGTTTTGTAAAGATAAAAAAAGAAAAAAAGAGTGGCTGCGAGAGATGCGAGCTTCGTTATTTCAGTAAATGGATTTTATGACTTTGACATGATCAATGGGAAGAAGCTAATTGTCTAAAAGTGATTGGAGTGACAAAGTCGATGCCTCCTTCAAATAGCGTTTTTGCTGCCAATTCCGAAACAATCTCAGTTGGATGAAACCAATCCCAAAACAAGAACTCTTCACGCTTTGCACAAAGACTAGCGTTTTGGGCTTTTATGCATCCACCTTCCCCATTCAGATATCCACTTCCGCAACATGCCGACTTCGTTTCTTTCAACCCTACATGTCACCCAACATTCATATCAATAAAAAATGTTGTCTTGAAGGTGCATATAAATGTTGTATACTAACTGCTACTGTGTGGTGCTTACCGAAGTTGGATGGAGTCTTCAACAAGGAGGTGGTCATTGCAAAAGAGTTACCAAGTGAGTAGCGGAACCCTTCCAATTCTGAACTCAACTTTTGGAGAAGCCCTAAAGTTGCTGAATGGAACGCAACTGCAAAATCATTCAGTGCTTTCACACAGTTCCCTCCATTGCCAGAGCTTACAGCAGGACAGCAACCAAGAGGTGCAAGGCTTAAGATGCCAAATTTTCTAGCCCCCAGCCCATATAGTTTCTGCAATTTCATCCCAATAATTAAACCTTTTGTGCTTGTTGAATAGTATAATTGGGTGGTGCAAAATGTTAAAAATTAGGTACCTTTAAATGATAGTAATATGTGACTTGTACAAGAGCTAAGTATTCTTTTGCGCCGAAATGAATGGAGCCACTGTCGTTACGTGCAAAATCGAAGATGTCGTTGCTTCCAACGCTGATCAGAAACAAAGCCTTCGAAACAATTTTAGCAGCTTTGGCTGCTCCCAATACCTCACTGATACTTGCACGAACTGATGCAAATTGTGCCACCTGCTTTTCGAAGAAAACCACTTCTCCCTACAAAGATCAAATTTACTCCCAACTTAAACCTTTTTATTTAATCATGCACGTGTTATACTAGTGTATATTTTAGCAACAAATTTTAGTGTATGATATTGGAATATGAAAATTCAAAAAATTATCATGCATTGCATACATATATAATGCAGTTGTCTCCATCTATTACGTTTACAGTAAAATTCAACGATGTATGGTGTTAATTATAATATCTCCCGCTGAAATCTATCTTCACCAATGTTACTAGTAATTACCCATTCTGCGGACCCTGTTTCTCTGAGAATTCCTGATCCACCTGACGCAAAATTTACACCGTGCAGAATGTTATTCTTGAAACTGTACTGATTTTTCTCCGAAGCCAAAAAAGGTGGTGGACTCTGCTGATAACCGAGTTGCCTCGCTAGTTTTCACAGAACAAAAACAATCCAGGAAAAATATTCAATAAAAAAACCTATAATTCAATAAAACTATTATGTGAAAACTAATTCTTCAAGTAATGTATTCACCAATTTGATCAGCAGTGTTGAAGCCATTACTGAACCTTCCTGTGGGAAGTGAATGATAAAAATCAATGCCGTTGTAGGGGAAGTTGGCCTGTGCTTTAGACCTAAGAAAATTGTTGGTTCCAACATCGAAAGTTGAGTCTCCAAATATGAATAATGCTGGTGCATCCTTAGTCCCATGAGCTACGTGCATGGCCAGAGACAAGAGAACACATAAAAACACTAAAGCATAATTATTGCTGGCACAGAAGGGTGCCATTTCTGTGCCTTAAACCTTGTGAGAGAACACCGTACACAACAGTAATCAGTGTCTAATATCTGGTACGAACCAAATGCAAATTTTTTTGCCTTTATATAAACGTAGAACACGTAAAAATCAACCAAAAAAGAAAGGTTACAATGTTGGTCATTGTCTCAAACAAATATTATAGAATTATGCGGAAACAAAGACATCGACATGGCCGACCATTGTCTACCCTTGTTATAATCAGCAGGAACCGTTCGAAGAATAATCCTCACTATATATTAATGCACAAATCGTATGGTTATGTGTAATGTATACCTAGTTGTTTTCTTTGTTAATGTTACAAACATTTGTAAAAAGTGGTCAAAATGATATTTCACAATTTACTTATTTAATGAACAAAACTTAATAATGTTTAATTATTCATATGTGCTTTTTAATAATGTTTAATAAATATTTACATTAAGGTAAGTATAGAATATGAATACGAAACTCATTAACTTTAAAAAAAATACTTAAAATATGTTTGGAATTTGTGTTTTATTCATTGTTTGGTACGGATAGCCGCCTAAAAGTAAGGTTAATTGAGCGGGGACATTGGTCTAAAGCCAAAAGTTAGCAATAATACGATTTTACTGACGAGAATTTGTGACGCACCTCCTCACTTCTTGTGCCTGGTTTTATTGGAGGTGCAGAATATGATTGATTACCGAACATTTTGTTTTGCTTTAACAGCTTTGGTATCATCGTCTTTAATCATTTAAATTTCTCTTTAATAAATTTTCTATAAACTTCAATTTTCCCATGCCTCTTCTTCTGTCATGCTCTTATTTTCATATGTTTTTTTAGAACTCACATGTACTTTTTTTGTGAGAGATACCGATGTTTAAATTGAATAATAACAAAAACGACAATCTTATTTCTCCAATTCTGCATGTCCCTTTGTTTAATAATGACAATTTAACAGAAGTGTTGATATATGTATGTGATGAAAATATTTTCTCAATTGTAATTTGTTTAAGTTGATATTATTATTAACAAAGAGAGAATATCAAATTAGATTGTACTATAGTAATTCAAGGTTATTCCATTCCTTCTTAAAAGAATGGTCACTAATTTTAATTATAAATTGTTCAACATGTCGGGAAAAAGAATGAATAAGAGACTCTTGATGCTACAATTGAAGTGGAATTCAATCCCAAATCTAGTGGTGCAAGTGTCAATGGGATGCCAAGGTGGTTTCGCATTTAATACAGTCTTAATTTGATTATTTTTATTTTTAAAAATTTAATTATGGTGAATAATATCAAATATTATATAAGTGTACACGTGTTTGATTTGATGTCAGGATTATGGTAAATAGTATGAAACATATACCATGTGTTGATTTTATGTTTGTTTTGTTTTTGCTTTTAAGAAGAACTTAATTTGTTTATGTTGATTCTTTCATTTTCAATATTCTTGATAAAGAACATAAAAGAATTAGATTGTTACGGTGCTATGTGTATGAAAATCTATCATGAAAATAAAAATGAGTAGGAAACTCATTTTTTGACATATTTTTACAAAGGAAACCAAAGTAATGGGAGAAGGCTCCTGAACCAATAGACTGAATGAAGTTCATGGGTGCTACATATTGTGTGGCAGCAGCGTATAGAGTATGAGCAGGTATCTGAGAAGCATGCTCAGTGGGATAATTCTGGTCCCAAAACAATCAGGATCGCAGGCTTCTCCACTGATAAGCGTTCACAGATGAAAACATCTTAGTTTTAGCATAAGTTTGTCTTAATATTTTGTAGTTCTCATCATAAAAGAAACTTACTAAGGGTGACAGGGTTGTTAATATCATATGAACTCCCAAGTGAGTTTTTCATGTCCCGGAACTCTCACCTCAAAATTGCTGAGTCAAAAAACTGAGCAAAATCATTATTCTTGTTCACACACTCATCATTAAAATGGTCTGTGTCAACAACATTAATCTAAACCGTTTAAAATAAATTAAAAGTAAGGTTTACAAATTGATATGAATTATTATATCATTTTTTTTATAAAACCTATAAAGTTTATATATTTTATATCTTATTTTGTTTATAATTTGATACTATATTAGTTTTTTATTTTACATATACATGTCTATACTTTAGGGTATATTATTGTATTTTATTAATTAAACATAATTATGCAATATATTATTTAGTTATTATTTATTAAAATCGATTCAACGTCACTACTAGAAAAATGTCAAATAGTAACCGAAATCGGTGATCGAAAAATTTAGTTACTATCGATGACCGAATCAGTAACCAAATTATTATTTTTAGTCTAATAATCGAAATAGTAACCGAATTTTCGGTCACATAAAATCGGTTACTATTTCAGATCACTTTATTATTTAATTTATTTTTTTAATTAATCTATATTTAATTTATGTAATTATTTTTGTTTTTCCGTGGTAATTTTTTATTTTTTTCGCGTTGTAGGATCCGACCTAGGTACGAAAATTTCATCTTCGCGCCCCAAATTTTCTTCATCTTCTTCGCGTATTTCTTCATCTTCTTCGTGCATCAACTCGACATTTTTATTCCTGGGCTGCACTAAGCGGATCGAGAGGTTGTTCCGCCCCTTGTCCCCAAATATGGGTAATATGTTCGCAAAAATTATTGCTCAAATCGACCTAGTTGGCGAGCGATCCTAGTTCGCAGCAGAGAACAAGACAGCAAGCGAGCATACTTGTTCGAGCTTAACCTAGACCTTTCATTTGTCCATCCCCAAGCGAATTCCAAACTCAACCCCGACCTCAACCTCGACAAACTCGACGAACTTGAGGCCCAAACCCATCTCCGCAGACATCGAACCCTAATCTGAAGCCAAACTCCGATCGTCGTGCGGTCAAACCCAACGCAAACCCAGACTGACCTCGAACCCTAACCCAAACCTCAACCACCTTGAATCCAAGCGACCTGCAACTCGTGGCGACAATAAACACTTTACAAAAAATCTTCTAAGTTGATTTAATCGATTGTTTCGTGATTCAATCGATTGAAATATTGCAAAACTTTCTTGTAAAACTTTTCAAGTTATTTTAACCGATAAAAATAAGTTTTAATCGATTAAAACGTTGTGCAGAAATTGTTTTAATCGATTGAAACCGAATTAATCGATTAAAGAGTTCTGATCGGTCATAATTGCATTCTGATCGATCATAATTGAAACGATATAATAGCGGTTCCAGGTTAACCGCTATCTAAAATGTACTTCGCTTAGCGACGAGTCTTCCCGCTCGAGCGAAACGCCCCTGCACAAAATTGGCATTCTCGGGTTGTATTTCAGCTTGAGCGACTCTATTTTCGCTCGAGCGATGGTGCAACCGCTATTAGAAGTTCTCTTTTAAGAGCGGTTCCGAGTGAAACCGCTATCATATAAAACGCTGTGTAGAAATTTTTAAGCGATAAAAATAAGTTTTAATCGATTAAAACGCTGTATGAAATTGTTTTAATAGATTGAAACGAGATTTAATCGATTAAAGCAGTTCGATCGGTCATAATCGCATTCTGATCGATCATAATTGAAACGATATAATAGCGGTTCCAGGTTAACCGCTATCTAAGTCGAGCTTTTAAGAGCGGTTCTGTGTAACCGCTATCTTAAATGTATTTCAGCTTGAGCGACACTCTTCTCGCTCGAGCGAAACGCCCCTGCACAAAATTGACATTCTCGGGTTGTATTTCGCTTGAGTGACTCTAGTTTCGCTCGAGCGATATTTGATTCTGATCGATTAGATTTTCGAAATGATCGATCATATTTGATAATTTTTTCAAATAATTAATTATAATCGATTAGTTTTCTAAATTATTAATTAGAATTGATTAGTTTTTCAAATAATAGATTAGAATTGATTAATTTCTGAAATATATACTAAAAAATTATAATTAAAAATATAAATTAGTTAAGAATATTGACTATTATAAAGATAAAGTAGAACATGGGAGGAGATGAGGATGATAATATAATGATAGAACTTACAAAAATGTAGAATTGAGAAGTTTGAAACAAATAAAATTAAGAAAATAGATATTTAATTACACTTTTAATAAATTTAAGATAATACTAGTTTTGATTTTTATTTTTAAATATTTATTTTAAATATTTAAAACAAAGAAACTATCATTTTAGTTTCTAGCTACTTGAATTTAAAGAATTAAATTTATTATTATTTAATCTTTTAATTTGTAGAATTAAACTCAATATAATTGTTAAAAATACTTTGTAGAGGCATTTGAGAAAGCTTTTGTCAAAATACTTTGTTTTTAATTGTTAAAAACATTTGTAGAGGCATTTTGCAAAATCTTTTAAGTGAAGAAACCTCATGCAACATAAATCTTTTAATTTTAGTATTAAAAATTTAAATTATATTTTATTAAATTAAAATAGTTACAATATATTTTTTTACTTTGAGAATGAACAATATAATTAAACTCAAAATTGACAATATTATAATACATTTTTGAACTCTTTTGGATTAATTTTTTTTCCTAATTTTTGATAAAGTTAATTTTAATATTTAAAAGTATTTAACATTTTGAATTCGAAAGGTTTTCTCTAATAGCAAATTTAAAAACATAATATTCAAAAAAATAGTTAATGTAAGTTTTCATTATGCATAATTGAGAAGATATGATAGCGGTTCCACGTTAACCGCTATCTAAAGTATAATTTAGATAGCGGTTAATGGTTAACTCGCTATTAGAAGTGCAATTTTAAGAGCGGTTCTTGTGGAACCGCTATCTAAAATGTATTTCGCTTGAGCGACAATATTCTCGCTCGAGCGAAACGCCTCTGCACAAAATTGGCATTCTCGGGTTGTATTTCGCTGAGCGACACTACTCTCGCTCGAGCGAAATACTGATTCGATCGATCATAACTTGAAATGATCGATCATAATTGAGAGGATATAATAGCGGTTTCCTTATAACCGCTATCCGAAGTGTATATTAGATAGCGGTTAAGACTTATACGATATCCGAAGTGTATTTCGCTTGAGCGAGACTACTCTCGCTCAAGCGAAATCCAATTCGATCGATTATATTTTCAAATGATCGATCATATTTGATAATTTTTTCAAATAATTAATTATAATCGATTAGTTTTCTAAATTATTGATTAGTTTTTCAAATAATAGATTAGAATTGATTAATTTCGAAATATATACTAAAAAATTATAATTAAAACTATAAATTAGTTAAGAATATTGACTATTGTAAAGATAAAGTAGAACATGGGAGGAGATGAGGATGATAATATAATGATAGAACTTATAAAAATGTAGAATTGAGAAGTTTGAAACAAATAAAATTAAGAAAATAGATATTTAATTACACTTTTAATAAATTTAAGATAATACTAGTTTTGATTTTTATTTTTAAATATTTATTTTAATTATTTAAAACAGAGAAACTATAATTTTAGTTTCTAACTACTGAATTTAAAGAGTTAAATTTATTATTATTTAATCTTTTAATTTTAGTATTAAAATTTTCAATTATATTTTATTAAATTAAAATAATTACAATATATTTTTCTACTTTGAGAATGAACAATATAATTAAACTCAAAATTGACAATATTATAATATATTTTTGAACTCTTTTGGATTAATTTTTTTTCCTAATTTTTGATAAAGTTAATTTTAATATTTAAAAGTATTTAACATTTTGATATAATGAGCATGATAATATAATGATAGAATTTACAAAAATGTAGAATTGAGAAGTTTAAATTTTTTTTAAGAAAATAGAGATTTAATTATACTTTTAATAAATTTAAGATAATACTAGTTTTTAAACCTTTTTCTAATATTTGTTTTTAAAAATATAATATCATTTTTTAATATTTTATAGATTTTATATTTATATATTTATAAAAGTAATTGGATTAAATTTATTATCCTCTCATATATTATTATACATTTAGCGTAATTTTAGTTTATTTAAAAATTAGAATACAAATATACTATACCAATATACCATTATATTATTTTCATTGTATATAAATTACAAAATTAATAATTTGTATACTATACTATACTAACATATTATTTGTATACTATACTAATAGTATAATATACTATATTATAATATTATTTGTATACAAAACTAATATCTTTATATATAAATATATAAATATGGAAAGATATAAATATATGTAAAAATATAAACATATAAATATATATAAATATGTAAAGATATAAACATATATCTTTAATATTTTGTAAATGTAAATATAATTTATATATATTTTTAAATCTTTTTCTAATATTTATTTTTAAAAATATAATATTTTTTTTAAAATTTAATATTTTTTTTCAAATATATAAATATATAAAGATATAAATGTATAAGGATATAAATAAATATATAAATATATCAATATATAAATATATCAAAATATAAAAATATAAATATATAAATATATTAATATATAAATATATCAATATATAAATATATAAATATATATAAATATATATATATATATATATATATATATATATATATACAAATATATCAATATATCAATATTATCCCCTCATATATTAATATACATTATGCTATATAAATATATCAATATTTAAATATATAAATATTTAAATATATATTAAAATATATAAATATTTAAATATTTAAATATATATTAAAATATATAAATATATTTTTATTTATAGATTTTATATTTATATATTTATACGGATATACATTTATTTGTATATAAAT